ATTCAATAAGTATTAGTCTTCCCCCTGAAAATTTATGTTTACAATTTACCTTTTTGTTATTTTATTTTTGGACATAGTTCAATCTTAAATGCTCCAAGATAGCATTTATGTACATATTTCACATGACATCCTTACGTGAAACCATAACTATGGCTATAATCACTTCCTGCTTTGGAATCATCTCAATTTAACTCTGTATTTATGGTAACTTACTGGTAATTTATGGTCACTTGCCTCTCTGTTTCCTAAAACCATTCTGAGTGATGGGCATTCCTATTCTTACCCCCAGTGACTATGGAGGTACTACCATGCTGTGAACACTGGGATGTCCTTGGATATCTCCACACCTGGGAGTGCTACCAGGAGCAAGCCAACAGCAGGAGCATTCTTTTAAATCATCTAGGCTGTGAGGCCACCTTTCCAGGATAACCCACTCACCCACTGATCCATCTTCATTTAAACTCAGGACAACTTGGAAGGGCAATTCTAGTTAAGGTTAGATCAGATACAACCTTCACTGGGACTGTATTACAGCCTGTTTTGCCCTTTGCTCAATTCTGTGTGACTCCTTTCTCAGAACTGTTGGTCAAAAATATGGATCTACATGCTAATCTCATCAAGTATATTTTCCAGAAAACATTACTTAAAAAAGGAAGCTGTAACAACATTACTTGAAGTTAAAGTTTTTCCATATACAGTAGTTTTAGATCTCTTGCTCTGTTGATGTTCATCCTCCAATGGCAGAACTGTCTTTACCAGCTTGAAATTTGCATGGAAACCTTAGAATTCTCTTTGGCCAGTCCAACAAATTGGAGATGATATCAATGGTAAGCGCTGAGCTAAAATAAAAAAAAAATCTCTGAAACATATCTGCAAAAGCCACAGAGCAAAATTCCTACCATCCCTCCTTGCTTCCCAGTGAACAATGACTTTACAACAGGCAGTAGTTTCTGCCAATGTGAACAAAATGGGTATAACCCTTCCTGGCTAGAGTGAAGGAACCCATATCCTTGATTCCCCCTTTCCAGCCACTAACTCAGTGTTAACACTGAAAACACCCATAGCAAGGAAGTTTGTCCCCATCTTTCAGACTGTAAGGAAGTTTGTGCCCATCTTCCCAGACTGTCACAACTTTAATTCCACGTAAATTCTGTTCAAGGTTTGACCCATTGGTGGTAGGTAAACCTCAATGATGGATTGAATAAAGGTGATGAGCAAGGATTTTCATCAGACATAGTACATAAATTTGAGTCTTAGCACACCACTGCCAGCTCACGAGAGCTGCTTTTGTCTTGTACACATCCATTCATTTTTACTGACCTCTGGCCCCTGACTCACCATCCTATAGTCTCAAAGGATCTTCTCATCTAGGCGTACTTTCTTTTTCTGGCAAAGGTTTGGGCACATATCCCAACCTAAGCAATCAGACGATTTGTTTAAAATTTGAACCTTGAGCATGGCTCGGAGAAAGAGTAAGCAACCATTTTACTAAACTTATTCCATTTGCAGAGTCCCCCCAAAAAGTTCCCCATTCTTTTTGCCACTAAGATTAGAGGAGCTAACTTTGCCATGTTGGATTTTCAGCTCTTACTCTGAAATGGTGAATGCCACATTTCCTTCTAACACTATTAAAAATATACCTCCCACTCACTGTCAGAAATTCTCCAATAACATAGAAATATAATGGCATTATCCTAGTTCTCTATCCAGAGACTAAAATTGAGACAGTAAAATTAAGTAACTTGCTGATGAGTGCTCAGGCAATAAGAAAAGGTGGCAAGTTTCCATCACTCAAAATTGGTGTGTATTTTTAAACAATTCTCTTTTCAATTACTTTATGTATAGATACAAAAGTGAATGTGTATGTATATTCTTCTACAGTTGAGTACCTTACCATAGTTAGAATTTTCAATACTTTTGAACTATATATACTCCTGAGAATAAAATTTTACTGTAGCAAATTTAAAAAGACTATTAAGTAAAAAGATGGTAAGACCCACCCATTATTCTAGCACCTGTACATGCCAAATCATCAATACCAACATTTTCATCTATTTTAATTATTTTTTTCCTTCTACTTTCACCTTCCCCTTTTCATTTGCCTCTCTCATATGATATATGCATACACAATACACAAACAAATAGGGACCTTTGTACATAATGAGATCCTTGTTTTATGTTCAAATTTAATTATCAAAATTCTTTTGCATAATTAAATTTAGTTGAAATGTTTAATGGAGATATGAAATTAATCACTCATCTTGTAAATACTTTATCATTGCCCTTTTAGAATGTTGATAAGTATCACTGCAAGCTGATTAAGAGTAGATTCTGAGCGGGTTAGTGGTGGCACACACCTTTAATCCAAGCACTCAGGAGGTAGAGGCAGGCTGATCTCTGTGAGTTTGAGACTAGCCTGGTCTATAAGAGCTAGTTCCAGGACAGCCTCCAAAGCCACAGAGGAAACCCTGTCTTGAAAAAAAAAAAAAAAAAAAAAAAAAAAAGAGTAGATTTTAAAACTGAAACTACAGAAACTATAGCTTTGAAAAGTTTATAATCTTTTGAAATATAACTTTTTTTTTTCAGAAAGATTGTGCCAATTTATACTTGTAAAACTTTTTTCACCAGGTGGTGTTAGTACGAACCTTTAATCCCATCATTCAGGAGGCAGAGGCAGGTAGATCTCTGTGAGTTCGAGGCCAAGCCAGTCTGGTCCATATATAGTGGCTACTGTTTCACAGGGAAACCTTGTCTTGAAAAACCAAAAAACCAAAAAGCAAAGGAAAGCAAAACAAAACAAAAAACCAACAAAACAAACAAAAAACCCAAAGAACCTTTTTTCAGTGTTTTAAAATTACTTTTATTCAACTGTATGAAGTTGGACACTAATTTAAGAACAATTAGTACAAAGTTGATAATTCAAAATAACAGTTCATGGTATATTAGTTATTTCTTCTGTTCTATTATTATAAATTAGTGCAAGCTAACTACAGGAAGATAAAAACATATAGGATATAATTATTTTACAAATAAACATAATAGTTTTCTATGTACATATTAAGATGCATACATAATATTTATAATTTGTCTTATGGCTGATTATCTTATATCTACAATCACATTTAATGTAAATTATAATGATTTATTGATTTTAAAAACTTTTTATCAAATATTCTCCAGTGTTATGTTTACTAGATGCAACTTTTCTGTAACATCCTTGCTTATTGGACTAAGAGTTAACCAATACTTGTCATTAACCAATGTTATATTATATTTGATTATTTTATGTTATAATTTACATATAATTGATCAATCAATGCTTGTATTTGATTTACAATATATGTCAGTTCAGTCTGTAACTGAATTTGTGATTTCATAAGTGGAATTATGGGTTTGGAAGATATAGCTATTTTAAAATTCCTGGATGTTGGAAAGATGACTCAGAGTTAAGGTACTTGTCATTTTTGCAGAGGATCAGAGTTCTGTTCCTACAGTAGGCCACTTAAAACTGCCTGTGACTCCAGCTCCCCGAGGTTTGATGCCCTCTTTTGGCCTTCAAAGGATCCTCCACACATATTGCAGACACATAGGAATAAAATATATTTTTAATCTTTCTTGATAAATATATCACTTTTCCTAATTTTTTCGATGTATATTCATTTCACACTTGTCAAAATTAGTCTCTTATTGTATTTCAGTGATGTGCTTTTCTAACTTTTCAAATTTGAGATTTTTTTCATTTATTAATTCACTAATCACCCTCACAATTAATTTAAATGGTCATTCTTCCCTGAAAACTAATTTTCTATTTTATCTGGATCCTAGTAGTATAGCCCCCTCCCTGGTGATTGTCATTAAACATTTTAATAGCTCGTTCATCTGTGGGGTCTCAGCGATATGACCTAACATGCTTCTAAGTATTTATGATTACAGTAACTCATATTGAAAAGTTCACAATTTGCAATTCACATTATCCTCACAATGTATGTTTATACTTTAACTGGTCTTTAGATAAAACTGAGAGCAACAGTAAGTGTGGGGGTTGGGGGGAGACTCACAATCCTGATTCTTCAATTATTATGGCCTGTAGTTTTCATGAAGTTACATTATTGTTTACAGTGCCCAAAATATTAAGCAAGTCAAGACATTTTACAAAAGTTACGAGACAGCGTCAAGGGAATCAGCAAATGCCCTCACTGTATTTTTAAAACGAGACCGATTTATATTAGGGGGCTTATAATTGATCATTCCACAGTTTTGCTCTATGTCTAAATATAAAACTCGCAGGGGTTTAAAAGGACCAGCTGCTTAATGCTTCCTATGGGTTGATGGATTAACGAATGAGTGAACAGGTGAAGACCAAGAACAAGTTATTCTAGTTCCTTCCAATAACGACACAGGCTACCTTGTTGGTGTGCTACCAGCATTCTCAGTGAACACAGACAGATTTTTCAAATCCAAAAGAGTGGGTAGGGAACACAGATACCGCCAATGCTTTTGGAACGCTATTTCATTCTGCTATTTGAAAATGGCTTTCCCCTTTGCCCCATTTAAGATGAAATCACTCACAACCTGTGGATACTGTGAGCGCTTCTTTGACTTAGGCAGCATGGAGGTCTGTACTTTCCCTTAGGAAACACATTTCTTGGTCATGTCTTCGAATGAAAAACACTTCTTCCCAAAGAATTCCTAGGAGGAAAGCGCTTCCTCCTGCCTCTGGAGGTTTCAATCCACGAGTACCCTCGTGGGATCTGTGAGGACTGTTGGAAGCTGAGCAAGGATCTGCACGGGTGCTATCCTGGACAGGGGTGGAGGTGTGTGCACCTTGAGCCACCCACTACTGCTACCCTTTGGCCACCCGAGCCCGCGCAGGCGCGCTCTCCTTCCCCCACCCAGCCCCGCCCCTCACTGCACCTGTCAGGTCATAAACCTCCGCCCACCGACTCCGGCTCCTCTGGGCCGCCTGGGCTTGCCCCTCCTTGATTGGCCAAGAGTGCCCTGGAGTGCGTCCAATCAGCATCCCTTCTGCACGACCTGTTCCCGTTCCTCCCGCCCTGCCGGCCTCGCGGGCGCTCAGCTTCTTTGTGACTGGTGCTCGCAGAGGTCACTCAGCGCGCGGTGTGGGATCGGCGGGCGGGGCTGGCTCAGGTGCCCAGGCACGGGACGGACGCGGTGGGCGAGGGGGCGGTCGCGTCGCGACGTCGGCGGCGTGAGGCTTCGCGCGTGAGCGGCGCGGGCGCCGGGCCTGGCTGCCAAGCTCCGGTGGCGGGCGCGCAGGTCGTTGACGCGGGCCCGGGCGGGGGCGCGTCCGTCGCTGAGCGCGGCGTCGAGGTTCTCGGACGATGGAGGACCCGCAGCCGCTGCCACAGCCGGAGCTGCCGCTGTGTGACAGCCTCATCATCTGGGTGAGTGTGGCCGGAGCGTGCCGGCGAGGCCACTCGCGGGGCGGGCTGATCGCGGGAACCTCCGGCTGCCACGTCCACCTGCTTCGCAGCCTTTCCCGTCCCAGACCGGGCCCTCCATCCAGCCACAGCGCCCCACCTCGCACAGGTGGCTAGGACAAGCTGGCCGCCTCGGTTCCCAGCTTGCTGTCCCTTCGGGCCCACAGTTTAAGACAGATGGCCAAGCTGCCTTTGCTGTGGGAGCTCTTTTTCTCTCTGCCTCCCCTTCCCTTCTTAATACCTTTTCTTTTAAAGTAAAGAATTGGCGTTTTTTGTTTACGCTTGCTCCGTGTGCAGGGTTCATTGGTGCAGACTTGACAGGCTGACTCTGTCCTCAGTTTTTTCCCACTGTTCCAATGAGCGAAATGGTTTCTTACCTGTTGGAACTGTCTAGATAGGACAGAACTGGCATCCAGGTGTGATTCCTAACCTTTATTGTGCTAGCATATAGTACTTGACGCCCCACAAACTGCTGTTAATGACTCGCAAAGGCTCAGCCCAGTTGTGCAGTTTTGTGGAAGGCGGGCTGTCTGATTGGAATGCAAATAGACTGGATCAGGAGGATTACATTCTCCAAGAGATTGCCTAGGCATCTCCTAATGCAAGCAAATCCAACGGACAAAAAAGAAAGATCACTGTGAGTGTTTAAAAATACGAAGTTACTTTTGCACTTTGGACTTAAATAACAAGTTTTAAGCAGAATGATAGTAGCTGGGATTTCAGGGTTTAAAGCATTTAGCTCATTGTCATTTAATTAGTGTTTAGGTTTAGACATTCTGTTTAAGATTGTCAGGAGAGAAGGCAGTATTATTTTTAAAGATCTGCTTTGTTTAGAAACAAATGGCTAATCATAGGCTAATGGCTAATCAGTTCTCCAAGTTTGTGGTCTGATCATGACTGAAATGGTAAGCTGTTCTTTATGATGTCACTGACTTCCCTGTTAGGTGGTGAAACACAAGATTTTCCTAAACTGCCTGGCAATATTTTAAAATGTTATGACCATGTCCATTCTTAAAGCAGTAATTATGAACTTCCTACTTTGTGCTAGGTTGTCAGGATTCAATTTACCTGCAGAGCTGTGGGTAACTATAATGGAAGGCAAAATTCCCCAAGATCTGAAAAAAAATATAAACCAAATAAACCAAACAGAGGACACTTGGTTTCCAGTTGCTAATTGACTTCTGCTAAACCAGGCTGCTGTATACCAAAGACGAACCATTGCTGTCTTGCAGTTATGCTGTTGTGGCCAGATAGATGAACCTTTCTCGATAACATTGTCCAGTTTGGTGACTGAGCATAACTTGGTAGCTATATTACTTAGGAAGATTCGTGGACACACTCCTTTGAGCTGAATCTTGGTTTTTAGGCAATCTTGTCTTTGGATCTAGCCTTATAACCTATTCCTTCCAAATCTTCTAGAGCATTGCTTTATCATTTATTTTTCCTTTGTTGCTTCTACTGCCCACCCAATGGAACGAGGGGTCTCTGCAAGTGCTCCACCAATGTAACTGTATCTTCAACCTCCATTTCACTTAAGTCAAGCATAGTCTAAAATGCTCAGCATAGCCTTGAACTCACTATGGCTAACAGGCCTTTCCGAAGTTATCTAGTAGTTTACTGCTTGGCAACAGATTTAGTTTTGTTGTGACTATAAGAGGAAGACTACTCATTAGGATCTCAATATATTGAATCAAAGTAGAGTTGTCTTGGCCCTGCCCTTTAAGAATGGTTTCCCACCATTAACTGGTATAGACTTCTTGTCCTGAATTTTTACTTGCATCATGGTTTCAAGTAGTAGAAATCATACGAAATCAGTTCCAAATCCAGGGAAGAGCTATTAGGAGTCATTAGTATATATGAACTCTATTGTCTATAGCCTGAGGGGAAGTAGTAGATGATACACTTCAGTTTGTGTTTGAGAAGAGCTGGCACTGTTTCTAAGACTGAAAGAAAAACAAGTTGTAGTGGGGAAGTCATGCAGGTGAGCAAATGGCTGGAAACATTGTGGGTTTTTACCCCAGGAGTAGGTCTTCCCTGAAGCAGAAGCATCAAGAGGAGCTGGCTAGGTCAAGGGTGTCTTTTGGTTAACTGTCTTAGATTTTATGATTTGGATGTTTCTTTTAAATAATTCTTAAAATATACTGCTACTTAGAAAATACAAAGTCAAAGGAAAAAAATGTAATTAATGTGAGAGGAAATATGTGAGGTTTGAAGAAATGTTTTCAGATTCCATCTGGATTTTAGTGTTATGAGGTTCTTTTTTATTTGTTACTTTGAACTTGGCATTGGGCCAAATTATTTTAATAATTTTTTGCTATAACTTTAGAAGGTAAGAGTAAAAGCAAACATGTGTAATCTGAGAAAATTCCTGATCAAGTTATATCTTCAGATTTTCCTATTTTTATTTTTTGTGTGTATTTTCTTTCTGTGTGTATGTGCATGCTTGTACACATGTGCTCACACTCAATGCACTCATGCTCAGTGTGTGTGTGTGTCTATGTATACACCTGCTCTCATGTTCATTATGTGCATGCCTAGTGCCCAAGGGGGCCAGAAATGGGCATTGTATCCCCTCAGACTGTAGTTAAAAAGATGGTTGTGAGCTGCCATTATAAGTGATAGGAATTGAACCCTATTCCTAGGAACAACCAAGGCTCCTAACACTGAGCCATCTTGTCAGGCTCATTAAAAAAAAAAAAAAAAAAATTGTTGTTCTCAGTTATAAAGCTTTTCAGTTTACCCAAGTGAAATTACATTCTGTAACCTACTTTCATCTGCTTTTAAGAGGAAAAGTTGATACTGACTTAAACATAGTACAAGAAGGCAACTCCGTTTCATAGGTACACCTTATGTGTTTGTTTACATTGCTTTTTCAAACTTCTTAAATTACATCCAGCTATTGTACATGTGGAGATGGGGCAACTAGAGGGAGCTTCTTCTCCTTGGGGTTCTAGGAATTGAACTTGAGTCAAGGTTGATAGCCAGTGCTTTTATTGCTGAGCCATCTCACTGACTCCAACTAGAATATTTTTGCCTAATATTCTGAAATTGATCTTTTAACACTACTGATCATATCTATTTTGTAAAACATTGATGATATGTCTTCAAGTTACATATAAAAAGTTAACATGTAAATAGAAAATGTTGGCAAATGGTAGCCACAGTGTTTTCCTTTGAATGGTACTGTAGTTTCTCTTCCCCAAGTATCCATCCAGGTACAAAATTCTTGTTTCACATCTCATACACTTCATTCATCCTATACTCTGAGCTCACATTATATATGTCCCGGTGCTGTCCATTTCATAAACAGGATGGTTGCAGGAACCTCCTAACTCATCTCCTGTACACAAGCACATTTGATACTCTGTGTTTCTATTTCATCTCTCCCTTCCTTTCCTTTCCTTTGTGATTCTGTATTTCTCTAAAGCCAACACTTACAAGAATCACCCTGGACTTTCTGACTTAATGTGTCAGGAGATTTGAGCATGTATTTGCCATGTAATATTGCACTCCAAGAAAACTTAACTTGTCCAGATTGTGTAGTGGCCATTGAGCACACAACCATGTGCAGACATGCATGTAACTAATTATGTTTCTTTCTTCACTTAGTTCTCCCAGTTGTCTTCTGTGGTAGAAACTTTTCTAGTTATTTCCCATTACATAGATGGTTTTACTAAGGATAACATGTAGTCCAACCTGTTTGCCACAATCCTTCAGCATCCTGACTCCTGCCTGTCTCTTGAATCCTCTTAGTTGACAGTCCTTTCCCATCCTCCTTAGTACTAACAATGCCATGATATTGAAATGCATGCTCCTTAAAAATAACATTTTTTCTCTTGTATTTGTATGGTAAAAACACTCATATTTTCATGCTTCCTTCCTCTGGCCCTTGACTTCAAAGTTTTGGTGTTTAACCCTCAAGCCCTCCCATCCAGGAACTTTTTACAAGAAGGCTTTCCTAAATTACAAATTGTGATTAAATTAATTGATCCTTTTTTTCTGATTTGAAAAATAATTATGTATACTGTGATTTTGAACTAATCATGTTGTCTCAACATGACATGTGCCATTTTCTTTTTTTATATATAATTCTTAATGATAGCTGCTTTGAGGGAGAGGTGATATTTTTCCCCCTTGCATTCTTGTCTGGTTCTACAGTGTCCCACACCAAGTAAGAGCTCAAGTAAGTATTTCCATGTGATTTTAAAGCAGTGATAGCTAGCCTTAGTCTTCACATTCCATCTTTCTTTTGTATTAGAGAAACAGGGACAGATTTGTTGCATATCTAAGTACACAAAAATCATAATGAGTTATGCTGGAATGGAAATTTATGGACTTTGGCAGTTAAAGGGTAAATTTGAGGATAGTAAATGATTAGTGAAGGGGATGAACATGTATAAAAATCATAATGAATTTAAATATGAGTAGAGACATTTCTATGAATTTATATGATCCATTTTAACTTTTACTTTGCTTTATAAAATTTATCTCATCTTGAATTTGCTGTTTTTAAGAAGATGTCAGTATCCTTCTTTCTTAAAGTATACATGAAACTTTAAAACTTATTTCTTTATTGTGTTTGTGTAATTGTTTTCACACATGCTATTGCTGGAGTGTGGAGACCAGAAAACAACCCACAGGAGTTGGTTCTCTCCTCTACTGTGTGAATTCTGGAGATTTCACACAGGCCATCAGGGTTCAGCAGCAACACCATCTTGTAGGCCTTGTGAATATTTTTAAAACCAACATTTGAAATGTTATTGATAACTGAAGCCATCCTATTGAAACAACTCAGCTGTTTATGTTATATGGCTAATAGTTGGACAGTCCTTTCAGAACTCATTCATATGGTAAAAATAGTTTTGGACCTAACACTTCTAACTTTTATTGTCCTATGAGTACCTTTGATGAAATTTTAGTTAGTAATTGTTTAGTTATCTTGAAGTTCTTTCTCTGATGTTCTCCTTACAATAGATACAGCTAAGAGTTTGTATTATTCAAAAATGCTGAAAAATTTTATACTTAGCACTACTGTGTTTTACCATATTAGGCTTGACTTTATGTAAAAAATGTGTTTATTTTTATACATATTTTATGCAGCTATAGAAATATAGTTTTCCACCTGTATTTGAACAAAACAAAATTAATTTTAGTTGCATTTTATTTATTTTGTATTATGTAGGGATAGTACAACAGTAAGGTGATTTGTTTTGTATCATTTTAGCTGCAGACATTCAAGATTGCCTCACCCTGTCAAGATGTCAAACAGCTGACTAATGGAGTGGCCATGGCACAAGTTCTTCATCAAATGTGAGTAGTGACCAAAGTATTCAGCCTAAGAATGTAAACCCAGTAGGAGCTAGAACTTGTATAAAGGTGATTGAATCCAGTAGACACAGTCAGACATATGGCACCAAAACATCCTCCCACCTAGGGAACAACAACACCTTACTACCTCATGATTCCCTGCTTGTTTGTAAAGATTCGTTTTAACCAAATGATTGATCAGATGATTCAGATTCAAGGAGAAAAGTCTAAATGAATGATAAACTTGCATGTAATTCCTACAGATGTGGGTTGTCTTTTTAGGGCTCTTTACCCGAAGAGTCTTAGAGACTATTGACACAGAAGGTTCTGGATGTAGAAAAAAATCTAATATTGAAATAATAGTAATTTATGAATCCATCGGTAATCACGTTAAGTGAATGAACTATGAATTTACAAAGCATGTTGACAAGACTTGAGTAGTTAAGATTCTGGCCTTGTGTATGTTAATATATAATAAACATTATTTAAAAATTATGAGGTCAGATTTGGCCATTTGTATTATTGAGAGTACAGTTTATATTTAGACTATAATTCTAATCTGTGGACCATGGTTGAAAATATTAATAAGTTATAGAATTGATAATTTTTAATATAAGCTTATAAAGAGACCAGAATCCTATATTGACTTTATTGTTCTCCAGTCAGAATTATTATATGGACTTCTTCCCACCATCTACAACATGAAACTGATTTCACATCTCTATAGATGGAGCCACAAAGACCTCTATGCCATTCCTAGAAAAACAGTGTATGATTATTTTAAAATCTAAATGATTTGGCATCTGTAAGATTATCTAATTTGAATATGCAGATTTTATAGTTAACTCAAAACATGTTAATATTTTTTTCAGTCACTAAAAAAATACTCTTTACTTCCCAGCTTTCTTAAAATATCTGTTTCATTTTTATCTTGTTTTAAAACCAAATACTTGTTCAAAGCCAACATGGTACTTTTTTTTTTTTCTAAATAACCCCTCCTCTTCTCCCAGTTCCCCCCACTTCTCATCTACCTCCTTCCCCTTCACTCATCCTTTGTATCTCCACTCAGAAAAGGGCAGGCTTTCCATGGGCATGAGCAAAGCATGGCAAATTAAATTGAGGCAGGACCAAGATCCTCCCCTTTCGTCAAGGGTAGGCAAGGTAATCCAACATGGGGAACAGATTCCCAAAAGCCAGCTAAGCTCCAGGGATAGGTCCTGATCTCACTGCTAGGGACCCTACAAAGAGACCAAGCTACACAACCATCACACACGTGCATAGGGCCTCCTTTGTTCCCATGGAAGATTCCTAACTGTTGGTTCAGAGTTCATGAGCTCCCATAAGCTCAGATCAGCTATTTCTGTGGGTTCCCCTGTTATGACCACCTGGCATATACAATCCCTCCTCCCTTTCTTCAGCAAGACTCCCAGAGCTCAGCCCAGTGCTTGGCCTTGGATCTCTACATCTGCTTCGATCAGTTACTGGATAGAGTATCTCTGATGACAATTAAGGTAGTCACCAATCTATTACAGTAGATGGCCAGTTCAGGCACCCTCTCCACTATTGGTAGGAATTATAGTTGGGGTTATCCTTGTGGATACCTGGGAGTTTCCCTGGCACCATGCTTCTTCCTAACCCCCAAATGCAACCCCATCAAGGCATCTCTTTCATTACTCTCCTCCTCTATCCTACCTCCATCTTTCTCCCTTCATCCAACCTGCTTCCCAACCTGCTCCCTCATGTTCTCATCCCTCCACACCCCCCACCATTCTTCACCCCCAGTTTACCCAGATGATCTGCTTTATTTTCCCATCCCAGGGAAATCCATGCCCTCTTTGTTATTTAGCTTCTCCGAGGCTGTCGATTGTAGGTTGTTTATCTTATACTTTACTGCTAATATCCACTTACGAGTGAGTACATACCATGTTGGTCTTTCTAGATCTGGGTTACCTTGCTCAGAATGATTTTTTCTAGTTCCATCCATTTGCCTGCAAATTTCATGAGGTAATTGTACCACATTTTCCTTATCTATTCTTTGATTGAGGGCCACCTAAGTTGTTTCCAGGTTCTGGCTATTATGAAAAATGCTGCTACGAGCATAGTTAAGCAAGTGTCCTTGTATGATTGAACTTACTTTGGGGATATATACCTAAGATTGGTATCTTTGCGTCTTGAGATAGATTGCTTCTCAGTTTCCTGCTATGTTGACTTCCAAAGTGGCTGTACAAGTTTGCACTGCTACCATCAGTGGAAGATTTTTCCTCTTACTCCACATCCTCTCCACCACAAGTTGTAACTTGTGTTACTTCTGTTCAGAATTCTGTTTAGATCTGTACCCCATGTTTTAATTGGATTATTTGGTATTTTTATGTCTAGTTCCTTGAGTTCTTTATGTATTTTGGATATCAGTTTTCTGTCAGATGTGGGGTTGATGAAGATCATATCCCATTCTGTGGGCTGTCGTTTTGTCCTGTTGACTGTGTCCTTTGCCTTACAGAACCTTTTCAGTTTCAGAAGGTTGCATTTATAGATTGTTGTTCTCAGTGTCTGTGCTACTCATTCAGGAAGCTGTCTCACATGTGCCATTGTGTTCAAGGCTACTTCCCACTTTCTCTTCTATCAGGTTCAGTGTAACTAGATTTATGTTGAGGTCTTTGATCTACTTGGCAATAGATAAGCATCTATTTGCATTCTTCATGTTGAATCCAGTTATGCCAGCACCAAGATGCTTTCTTTTTTTTTTTTTTTAATTGTATAATTTTTTTTTTAGGTATGTGGATTTATGTCAGGGTCTTCAATTTGATTCCATGGATCCATGTGTCTGTGTTTATGTCACTACCAAGCTACTTTTATTATTATAGATCCATAGTAGAGTTTGAAGTCAGGAACTGTGATGCCTCCTGAATTTCCTTTATTGTACAGGATTGTTGTAGCTATCCTGGGTTTTTTGTTTTTCCATGTGAAGTTGAGTATTGTTCTTTTGAGGTCTGTGAAGAATTGTGTTGGGATTTTGATAGGGATTGCATTGAATCTGTAGATTATTTTTGGTAAGGTTGCTGTTTTTACTAAGTTAATTCTACCTATCCATAAGCATGGGAGAGTTTTCTATTTTCTGATGATTTCTTCTATTTCTTTCTTTAAAGTCTTTTTCATTCAGGTCTTTTCACTTGTTTGGTTAGATTACCCCATGATACTTTATATTATTTGTGGCTATTGTAAAGGGTGTTATTTTCTGATTTCCTTCTGAGACCATTTATCATTTGTATGTAGGAGGGCTAGTGATTTTTTTTGTGTTAATCTTTTATCCTGCTACATTACTGAAGGTTTTTAATCATCTGTAGGAGTTCCCGGTAGAATTTTTGGGGTCACTTATGTATACTATCTCATCATCTGCAAATAATGAAAGTTTATCCTTGATCTCCTTTTGTTGTCTTATTGTTCTAACTAGAACTTTGAGAACTATATTGAATAGATATTTAGAGAGTGGACAGCCTTATCTTGTTCCTGATTTCCGTGGAATTACTTTAAGTTTCTCACCATTTAGTTTAATGTTGGCTGCCAGCTTACTGCATGTTGCCTTTATTATGTTTAGGCATATTCCTTTTATCCCTGATGTCTCCAAGACCTGTATTATGAAGGGATGTTGAATTTTACTAAAGGCTTTTTCAGTATCTAATGAGATGATTATGTGGTTTATTTTTGTTCAGTTTGTTTATATGATGGATTACATTGACAGATTTTCTTATGTTGAGCCATCCATCCTTACATCTCTGAGATAAAGCCTACTTGGTCATGGTGGATTGTGTGTGTGTGTGTGTGTGTGTGTGTGTGTGTTATCTTGGGTTTGCCAGTATTGAGTATTTTTGCAATGATGTTCATGAAGGAAACTGGTCTGTAATTTTCTTTGTTGCATCTTTGTGTGGTGTGGGTATTAGTAGCCTCATGAAAAGAATTTGGCAATGTTCCTTATGTTTCTGTTTGGAACAATTTGAGGAGTATTGGTATTACTTCTTCTTTGAAATTCTGGTAGAATTCTGTGCTGAAACCATCGGCCCTGGCTTTTTTTGGTTGGGAACCTTTTAATGTTTCTGTTTCCCTAGGGGTAATAGGTCTATTTAAATTGGTTATCTGGTCTTGATTTAATTTTGGTATGGGATTCCTATCCAGAAAATTGTCCAATTTTTTATTTTATATTTTTAAGATTTCCCAATTACATGGAGCACAGGTTTTTAAAGTATGACCTGATGATTTTTTGGATTTCCTTGGTCTGTTGTTATTTTCCCCTTTTCTGATTTTGTTAATATGGTTATTGTCTTTCTGCCTCTTGGTTAGTTTGGATAAAAATTTGTCTATATTGTTGTTTTTTTCAAAGAACCAACTCTTTGTTTCATTGATTCTTTGTAATGTTCTCTTTGTTTCTGTTTCATTGATTTCAACCTTGAGCTTGATTATTTCCTACCATCTACTCCTACTCGGTGATTTGCTTCTTTTTCTCTAGAGCTTTCAGCTGTGTTGTTAAGTCACTAGTGTGAGATTTCCCCAAATTCTTTATGTAGGCACAGTGCTATGATCTTTCCTCCTAGCATTGCATCTATGTGTCTCATAAATTTGGGTATGTTGTGTGTTTGTTTTCATTGAATTCTAGACATCTTTGATTTCTTTCTTATTTCTTCCTTGACCCAGGGGTAATTTCTTTGAGAGTTGTCTAGTTTCTGTGAGTCTGTAGGCTTTCTGTCTGCAGTTAGTGGTGTTGTTGAATTCTAACTTTATATTGGTAATCTGACAAGATACATGAGTTATTCTGATGAATGTGCATCTTGCTGCTTTTCATTGTAATACTTTTGACTAGTATGAATAAAAGATGTCCACACTTAATAGTAATGTGAAGACATCAGCATTTAAACCAGGACTGTCTTTTGTGTTGCTGGTGTTTGTGTGTGTGTGTGTGTGTGTGTGTGTGTGTATGTGTATGAGTGTGTTATTTCCTTTTTCAGCGTTTCACTCTAATCTAGACTGGTCTGGAACTTACTGTGTAGTCCAGGCTGCCTCAAACTTAGAGCAGTTCCTAGACTCTAGCTAGGGTTATAGATAGGAGATACCATACCTTGCCAAAGACATCATTTCTCCTTGTACTGATGAGCTCAATGGCTTTATGCTATGTGGTCTCTCCTTGGTGTTTTGTGTTGTGTGTGGCTGTTTGATGTCCCAGATTTTCCAGCACTGCTTGGAGCAACACCAGGTGCCTTTTGTCTAAATGCTGCTATCTGGTGTATGCACAGATTTCTTTCCTATGCTTGGATTTTCAGTCTGTCTCTGGCTATCTTCTTGTTCCTATGTGCATTACTGTCTTCTAATGGCTTTTATTTTGCAGGAAAAATAAAATAAGTTAGCTAATAAGAAAGATTTATTCATTAAACAAATGACTAGTGACCTAGGTCCAAGCCGGTCTGTCTGTCTGTCCCCCTAACACCCTCATCACTTAATGTTTCACTTGACTGTTTTATTGTACTCTGATATTTTAACCACCTTATCTAAGTAACATTTACTTTGTTTTTTACCCTTTTCTAGAAGTCTGTATGTGGGCCAGTAAAATTTCCAAGAATACGTTTTTGCTTATTTGGATTAAAGTGTCATAATCCCAATAAAAAGACTGATGTCATTGACTGTTTCAAAGTACTGTATACAGTAACATTTATAATAAATTTTAGTGGTGATTATCAAATCCCATGAAAATTGTTAAAAGAGGTAAGAGGATTAATTCTTCTTTTTAAAGAAAAGACCACATTTTAGACAACCATTTTTACTTACCTGAGGCAGTTATGTGTTTATATAATAAGATCTTAAACAGTTGTCTAAGCTGTAAGATTAGTCATGGGGAGCCATGAACTTAGTGATGAGTTTGTAGTTCCCTGTCTTTAGTGTGAATCTATAATATATGCATCTCCTTTAAAAATGTGTGTGGAAGGTGCTGTTGTGGGGAAAAAAGTTATGCATTTGGAAAAATACGCCTGTAACTGTGTTAGTTTTCTAGGGCTGCTGTAACAGTATTACAGGCTGTGTAGCTTAACACAGCAAAACTTTATTCTCTTACAGTTCCTGTAGTTATAAGATTAAATCAAACTGTTGGGTGGGCTGTCCTCTCATTCAAAAGCTTCAGAGAGAGGGTCCTCCTTGCCTTTTCCAGTTGCTGATAGTCTGAGCATTTTCTAGGGCTATTGTGCCTCTGCTTAGTTTCCCTTTGTTTGTTGCTATGTCTGTTCCATTTTAGTGGCACCAGTCTATGGACCCATTCTAAATCAATAGGATCTCTTCCTACCTTGATGGATTCTGTGACAGTTCTGTTTGCAAATAAGGTCTCTTTTATAGGCACAAAGTTAAAACTGAAACATTCCATTTTGAAAAATGTGGTTCAGTTGGTAATCACCATTTTTCGATTTGCAGGTATTTGAGCAGTTAAACTATAAACTATGATAGCCAACATCTGAGTATTTACTAAATATATAATTATAAGTCCCGTTATAGAGGGTGTGTGGTGTATGTGTGTGTGTGTGTGTTGTGTTCTTTTGGAACCAAGAGGTTGATATTGAGTATTTCCATTTCATTCTATACTTTAGTTTTTGAAACAGGCTAGTCTCACCTTTTTGGCTATCCTGGTTGGCTGTGAGTTCCCAGAATCTGCCTCTTTTTGCCCCACTTCACAACCAGTACTGGAGTTATAGACATGTACTGTTGCGCTCAACTTTTACATGGGTGCCACAGATCTGTACTGAAGCACATGTGTTTATGCCATCTTCGCAGAGCTCATCTAACTTTTTTCTTTATAAACTGTATATTTTACCTTCAGTTTATCCATGAGGACCAGCAGTGTAGAGAGCTACTTTTAGAAGTCAAACAGTGAATAAATTAAAAGGCTGGGATTTGAATTAGTTTATCCTGACTCCAAAGCCAGTGTTTTTATTCAGCAGTAACAGTAAAAATCCAGTACACTGAATCCTGATGAATTTTTATTCAGCAGTATTCTTGAGGTATCAATTGATGGCAATACATTTTTTATTAGTAAGTAGAAATACAGTTTTCCCCTCAAGTTACCTGCTAAAATTCTTGAAGACATATCTTGGATGGAATTAAACATACTGTGATGATTTTTGGTAAATTTATATTAGAAAATAATTGGGTTGTTTTTTTCCTCATTAACTCCTTTTCTTAACTTTTTAGTGTTTAAGTGTCATTCAAGTTCTGAAAAATGTAAAAACAAACCAGAAACACACATTAAGCCATATAGATAATGTGCCAGTGCAAAAATATGGAAAGTAAATTGTCTAAGGTTGAACATTAGGTTTAATTGGTGGGAAGACTAGCTCAGTGTTAATTGTTACAGAAGGGTGAATTTGCTGGTAAAACAGCAGGATCTGGGTTATTATGGAGAAAGAAGACAGTACTTCTCAGGATTAAAATGAATTAGCAATGCAAAGAAACACAAAGTATTAAGAAAAAAGGAGGAATCGGGGAAGAACTAGATAATGAAACAGTTTAATCTGTAGATTTAATTTTTGAAGGTAATTGACAGCGGGGATGGTGGGTGAAGAGATTGGTGAAACAGTCAGGGATGCTGAGTAGCAGTACCAGAAGTGGGTGTGTGGGGGTACACACGTTTATTTTAGCGGACTCGTACATTTCTTGTAGAGGCTTGCTGAGCAGAATAGGCCAACAGGCTGGAGAACCAGAATGAGATCACTCTTTCCTGCCACAAGTCTGTCTTCCTCCTCAGGCCTTTGCCTGACTGGGTGAGACTGGCTCACTCTCCTGGGGGTTGTCTGCTCTCCTTACTGCTGGCCTAACTTGTATCTAGAAGTGTCACTGCAGTAGCAACTTGATGTGATTGGCCAAATATCTGTATTGTGACCCAGAAAAGTTGACAGACAGAGTTACCCATCATACCTGCTGTACCTGGGATATTATATTACTTAATCTGATATTAAAAATAAGTACCTTAATGTTTGACAAGTTTGCTCATTAAATTATTCTAGCAGCATGCACTCAATTACATTGTTTTTGTAATTCTAATCTTATCAACCAGGAGAAGTTGGATGGTTAGGAACTCATAAATGAATGAATTGAAAATGGGAAGCCATATTTTGCTTACCTAGCAGGAGTGACTCCCTCTGTACCAGAACAGCTGGAGCAGAAAAATCTGACTCTGAGCCCTCGAAGTGCAGTGTGTCCTGCTTTCAGGGTCTTTTCCTCCTCCTCCTTTTTTTTTTTTTTTTTTTTTTTTTTTCTTCAAGATCTGGCCTGGGAAAGAGTCCCCTACCCCATATCAGTTTATCTGTAAAGTACAAGTCCCCTTGTCTCAGAGTGCTGTCTTGAAGCCTTGTGAAGGGGTCAAAGGTGACCCCTCACTGTCTATCACATCTTCTTTCAGTTGTTTATGCTCTTCCTTTAATAGCTACTTTTCTAAAAGTCAGTATGTAATTAATCTATGTTGATCTTGCTCAATCCCTTAGACAAGGCTTCCAAATAGTTAGAACATAGGAATATAGTCTGTTCATATGCTTTGTATGTGTAACATGTTCAAAACCTCATTAAATTCATAACCTTTTTGTATGTCAGTTATTTGTCTCGATTTTTGTTATCAACATAGGATTTTATTTCTAATGAAAACAGAAGTTTTCTTTAGTGTTTAACTTTGTAGATTTCTTAATTAAAGCATTCTATTAAACCATACTCAATAAACTAATTTATTTGGTGTTTTACTATTCACTAGGGTCATTTGAAGCAAATTACTCTATCCCTCTCTTCTGTTCCCTAAAGAGGGAGATTGGGCATAACATATCCATTGCCAAGTTACTATGGTATTTAAATGAAATAATATCTCACACAGAATGAATTTTCCATATATAGTAAACACCTCAGAGTATTGGATTTCTTTGTCCTTTTTTAGACTTGGTAGCAGAAGGCACAGTGCAGAATATTTAGTAAGTACTTGTTTTATTTTGAGTGTTAATGACATAAATAACAATATGGGAAGGAAATTCCAAATTAAATTTTTGGAATCCCAAAATTTTAGTGGCTTCATTTTTAATTACTGCTAATCTCCCTAAGGATTGATTTCAAACTATAAATACTTATCTTTATTTGGTTTTGTTTTCCATGTTACAAAAACATTTTAAAGTTTAGCTTTTATATTTTTGTTTTAGTGATGTAGCCTGGTTCAATGAAACTTGGTTAAGCCGAATTAAAGATGATGTTGGAGACAACTGGAGAATAAAGGTATGCAGAAATGGGCATTTGGGGTACATATGGTGCAGGTAGCCCTTAACAGTAGTACTGAACTCATCTCAGTGCTTTGTTTGTCTTGCTTTTTCGAGACAGGGTTTCTGTGTATTGCTTTGAAGCCTGTCCTGGAACTCGCTCTCTATACCAGGCTGGCCTCAAACTCACAGAGATTCACCTGTCTCTGACTCCCAAGTGCTGAGATTAAAGGTGTGTGCCACCACCACCCAGTTTTTTAAAGTTACCTCAGTGTTTTTTAAAAAGTTAATTCAGGAGTGCATATTTCAGTTTGAGTTAACACATACTGTACTGGTCAGTTTTTATCAACTTGACTCAAATTAGAGTTACCTTGAAGGACAGACCTCAGTTGAAAAGGAAATACTTCATCAGATTGACCTGTAAGAATATCTGGTTGTCATTTTCTTGATTGTTGGTTGATGTGGGATGGCCTAGCCCATTGTGGGCAGTGCCGAATCAGGGCAGGTGGTCCTGGGAGGTTTAAGGAAGCAGGCTGAATGGGTGTGAACCTGAAAGCAAGTCATTAAGCAGCTATCCTCCAAGGTTTCTGCCTCTCCTGCTGCTTGGGTTCTTGCCCTGATTTCTCTCAGTGATTGGTTATGATCAGGATTTTTATGCCAAATAAACCCTTCCCTCCCCAACTTGCTTTTGACCATTGTGTTTTCACATAATAAGAAAGTAACTAGACACCTGAGTTTACCCATAGCTAAATACCATCGATTATTTACAGAGCCTTTCTACCTCCCAAGAACATATACTTTGGTGTCTTTTCAGTTAATCTTCACCCAGTGATCAGCTTCTGATGTCTGTAGGTCCTTTGGGTCACTTGAGTTCCCATATCTAGAATTCTGTATGAATGCAACTGAACAGTGTGTGTACTATTTGTGTATGTAGACTTTATTTACTCAGTATAATGATTTTGAGATTCATATGTGTTGCTTGTATTAATCATTATATCTTTATTGTTGGGTAGAATATTGATATGCCATTTTTGTTTAGCTATTCACCTGGTGGGATATTTGAGTTATTTCTAGTTTAGGCTCTAGTGGTGAATCCTTATTAGACTTAATTTCTTTGGGGGAAAATTCCTTGGCGGAATTGCTGTGTGTGTGTTTATATATGTGCATATATATGTACATATATACATGTATATGTATACATATATGTATATACATATATGTTTCACTTTATAAAAATCTGCAAATGATTTTATATTTTTAAATCCCTTTTACTTCAGTTGGTTTTCTTATGTCTTGTGGGGTCTGTGTTTGTTCCATAAAAATGTCTAATTTGTGTTATAGTTTTTAACAGTACTGCTGTAATAGTATGCTAATGAATATATAATACAAATATGAATAAAGAATGAACTTATACATATAAACATAGTCTTTTAAAATTATTTATTATTTTATATGTATGAGTATTTTGTCTGTGTGTGTGTGTGTGTGTGTGTGTGTGTGTGTGTGTGTAGGGTACCATGTGAATGCTTTGTGTATGCAGAAGTGAGAAGGGAGCATCAACTCCTCTGGAACTGGAATAATACCCAGTTGTAAGCAGTCATTTGGATGGTGGGAATTGAACCTCGGTCCTCTGGAAGAGTAACCAGTGTTCTTACTCACTGAGCCTTCTCTTCTGTGAATGATGTCTTACCAGTCTTTGCTAACGTTGAAAGATTTTTGTATTATTCCCTTAATAATATGTAGCTTACAACTTTTCAGTTTTATATTTTATATTTTAAAAATGATTTCCTCATTGGCTTTTCTTTTTTCCTGTTTACACGTGCCCTTCTTTATCTTGCTTCTTGAAGAGGTTTAAATAATAAATGTTAGGTATGTTTTTTGTCCTAATATTAAACACTGCTCTACACATTACATTTATTATAAAATATTTTGGTATTATTGTGTATATGTTGTATGTATGGAGTGTGCACATGCTACATCATTTGTGTGGAAGTCATAAAATAAGTTTGTGAAGTTTGATCTCCCCACCTTTTATGAGTTCGTCAGACAAATGTCAGCCTTGCTTTCTCATGTGTTGTGTCTTAGTGAATGTTCCAAATGCACCTGAAAGCAATATACATCCTCATTTATTCTCTAAATATGTTTTGTGCCAAATTCGTTGATAGTGCAGTATATATTTTGTGTATGTTGTGTTTAATTTTCCCATTAGTTAGGTAAGGAGGAAACGTAAGTCTCTACTGATGATTATGAGTTTTCTGATAATAATAAATTCAGTTCTTATTAATTCTGATATTTTCATGAGTATTTTTATTATTTTTATTAGGTTTATTACACATTTTTCTCTCTCCTTGGTGGGAAAGTTGATAATTTTTTTTTTTATTGGGAAAGTGATAGTCTCTCACCTTTGTATATGTCTTTCATTATTAATATGAAACAAGCATTTATTTCTCCTTTTTGTTCTACTTTAGGCTAGTAACTTAAAGAAGGTCCTCCATGGAATTACAAGTTATTATCATGAGGTACAAGAAATACCTGGTTTTAAACAAAAATTCCTGTTGCTTGACTTATTGATTATAGTGCTGTATTAGAATGAAACTCATAATTGTAATAATTATATTGCTATTTTTAGAGCACTCAGAATTTTTGTGAAAATGGGAGATTTAAGGCTTAAATGCATTGGCTTTCCAAAAAAACAAAAAGAAAAGATAGTTTTTAGTTTGAAACTCTAAATTAGTTTTACAAATAGAATTCATTGTATAATAATTTGTGGCCTTTGAACTGATTTTGTTAGTTAATAATTTTTCTTCTCTTTTAATGGCACAGAAATAAACTTGAAAGTTTCTTGGGAAAGTTTTAATGCTGCTGTGAGAATTTTCTGGGTGCTCTGTGAGCTAGAAACTTCTTAATTAGCTTCAAGAAAATAAGGAAGGGACAGAAAAAGTCCAATGCATTGGATTTGTTGTTCATTTGTGAAATTGTAGTGGTTTATGCTGTGCCTCTAAGTGATACATACTAACACAGATAATTTTCAGTCTGACTTGTCTTCAGGTTGTATAAATAACTTGCCTTTATTAATATATTTTGGGCTAGGAAAGTCCTGTTTACTACTTACTACAAAAGCATTTTTGTTAGAGTTAAGTTAGCTTTGGTCCTTCTTGACAAATCCTTGTTTTTCTGATATAGAGGCCAAATGAAAATCAAATACAGTTGACTCTGAATATTGAGAAGGTGTCCAAATATTGTTAACTATTACTGACTGAATTTGAGTTCTTCATGAATTTATTTTAAATAATAATGTAAATTCTTTGTAGCCTACTTAGCTAAGTGATCTAATGTATTATTTTGATTCTTAAGTTTTTGGGGCAGCAGATTTCTGAAGAACTTATCCCTGATTTAAACCAAATAACTGAATGTTCAAACCCCGTGGAGCTTGGAAGGTTGCTTCAGCTTATCCTAGGCTGTGCAGTCAACTGTGAAAGGAAGCAAGGTAAGCAGGTTTTAGTTACTTGAGGTTCCCGCTTTGCTAGTCCTCAGTGCTGACATGTACAGGAAGGTTATCTTCCCACTACTATATGGCTGAAATCACCCAGCAATAAACTAGATCTTATTGGAGACCTCCCTGTTACTAATAATGCTGCAGCTCTTGAGTGTCCTGCACTCTAGTGTTCAGTGGCTCAATTAAGTATTTAGTTGAAATTGTTTAATATCTGGTGTTTAGAACATGTTGAGTAGTCAATAAGAATTTTAGGTTCATTTAATTTTTTATAATAAAATATTCAGCTAATAAATTATAATCCAAACTTCTTCAAATAATAATTGCTCTGTTTAGAAGAAACCTGTCCACTGTTTTCTTTTGAGAAGTGGAGCAGTGCACATATTAATGGAACTGGTACATTACATTTATATATATACTCATACTAATATATGTACTGCTGTGCATAAAATGTCATAAAACTGAGTAGACTTGAGTCTCCTTCCCAGGGAGAGCTTGTATATCTTGGGTGGGAAGAGCTTTGACACCACTTTTTATGAAGTGGTGTCATAAAATTTCTTCATAAAAATTTCTTCATGTTCCAGAAAAGATATAGGACATGAAATTAATTGTAGTTTATAAAATGCACACACACACACACACACACACACACACACACACACACACACACACACACCATAAAATGTTCCTATTCCAGTGTCTGTATTTAGTAGATACTTTTTCAGAGGGCAAATAATTGCTTTTTCTATATTTAGCCAGAAATCATTAAAGATCTATATGTTGTAGTTTTTTTTTTTTTTTTTAACTAAAAATTTTTACTCATACAGATTAAAATGTCCCTGGCTGTCCACAATTTGACAATTTCAGGTTTAAATCTAGTACTTATTGTTACAGTTTGGTTCTTTTTATTCTTTGACTAATACTTAAGTTTCTTTCTGGTTATTTATAGCATATTTGTGTCTGATTTATGTTTCCAGAGTATCAGGTATTATTTATTTTTAGAGATGTAATATTTAGCTTTGATTCTATTTCATTTCAGTATCATATAATTTCTAGTATTACATTCCTTCATTTTCTTGTAAATTTATCATGCTTCTATTATAAGCCATAGTTGACAGTTTAATCTACAATTTTCTCTAGTGTTGATGATTTTGTTGCATCTTGCAATATATTTTGATATTCTATCTTATTCATATTAGGCCTAAGTATTATTACATATTTTTGCTTTTATAGTTTTGAAAGGAAATTCAGTTCCTGGAGATATAAGTGATTGTTTTATCAGCAGTATATATAAAGAAACAGTTTCACTTTCAGCATATGTGTCTAGGTTAACAATTAGGTTTGAATAGTTAAATAAAAACTACCAGTGGGCTCAGGATGTGGCTTAGTAGTAGAACTCTCATCTGTCATATGCAGAGCCCTGGATTCCACCCTCAGCTGCAGAAGGGATGAAAATAGGGGGAAAAAATTTACAACAAATGAACATCCCAAATTTAAGGTTCCGAACAACTTCCGAACTTTTATGCTTTGAAGTAAAGATTGGCCTGATAATAAATAATGAATGCCCCTTTCAAAAGGGGATATTTTAAAACACAATTTCTTTTATTGACTCTTTGGGAATTTCACATCATGAACCTTAACTCCACTCACCTCCCAGTCCCCCTTTTATATTATATCGTCTCCTCACTTCTGTAGTGCCCTCCAAAAGAAAATTAAACAAAACAAACAAAAACAAGAAAAAAAAAATCAGAAAGACCTTTTAGATTCTCCATCTTTCCTGCCTCTCCAACACCTCTTCATTTGTTCTGTAGACATTGAGAGCCCTGTGTCACATGGTATACCCTTTTTGTACAATCAGCTTTACTAGCAAATGTTATTGAAATAAGTCACTGGTCTGGTTCATGGCCTCTGGTTTGTGGTACACCATCATCACTGGATCCTCACCAAAATTCTTCTGGGACATCCCACAGCCACCCATTTCATGGAGATCCTATTGGTGTCATTTCACCAGACCAGTCCCTTCACAAGATCTAGCATGCCGGGTAGATATTAGGGTGAGCCAATTTAAGGCATAGCTGCAGGCCTGGGTTATAGCTGAGCTGGACCACTGGGGCCATCTGCCTCAGGTGAGTGTGGAAAGCCAACTCCCCTACACCCATGCCATTAGGGTCAGTTTTCCCTCTCTGGCATGGCTCCCAGACAGGAACACACCACAGGTTGCAGTCCAAACCCTCTAATTCTGTGTGACCATTGGTGGCAACACAGACCCCAACTGCAGTAGGATAACTGATGCAGATGTGGTCCTTTGCAGCAGCCAGGTCTGGATTGCCCCAGATGCTAGTATAGGCACCGTTATGTCTTTTGTACATTCTTCAGTTAATTCTTTTTCTCCTCCTTAGCATTTAGTTGTCAAGTGCATGCCATAACCTTTCAAACTCTCAGTGTCACAAATAAAAGGAAGATTTAGAGGACTTGCAGGAGTGTCTAAAGGAATCAGTACAACCCAAAAGTATTGGATAACTTTGAGGGCAGTAGTTGGGTGAAGAACATACAGTTGGAGTGGACTTAAGTCTGCAAATAACTAAGGCATTCTTTAAGTCCCTCATTTCGTGTTTGTGGAAAGGTTTAAATGCGAGAATTATTGGATGTCAAGCAGGTGTTGCAGGAGGCTGCGTACATACCTTTGAGAGCCTTCCTGGAATGCAGATGGCACAACAATTTTTGGTTCTAAAATTGGACAGTCATTATCAATTGTTTTACTATATTACTTGTAGTGTCTTTTCTTTTACTTGGAAAAATTAAAGGGTTCTTTTTTGGATAAAATATTTAAATTACTAAAGTTGAAAGTCTTTATCTTGCTTTTAATGGACATGTTAATGAATTAGTATATTTGTATGAAGGGTCATTTATGGCAAATTAATTTCCACACTTCTGTTATTGAGTAGTTAAGGCGTTATATAGAAGAATTTTATGTCAAATTTAATATTTTCATTTATAGAGCATATTAAAACTATAATGACCCTGGAAGAATCTGTTCAGCATGTGGTTATGACTGCAATTCAGGAGGTAAGTGACACTCTGCTCACCTGAGTATGAAAAGCCTGAGCCAAATTACATAGAACTGTGTACATATTTAAAAGCCTTGAAGCTCAATTTTAGAACCCCTAATTCTAAAAGCCATCTGATAATTGGTATTTTTAAGTACTTTTATTTTAATTTGATGCTCAGCACCAAACCCAGTGTCTAGTGATTGCTAGGCAGATTCTCTTCCACGGATCAAATTTCTTTTGAATACCTTCTACTAATTCAAGCAAAATAATCAACCCTAGTGCATGTGGGATGTTCCATTTCCTCTCCTTTTCCTGCTTGTTAGAAAAGTGTTCATGACATTAGTACAGTGGTTCTCAACCCCTTAGGGTTGCCTAAGATGACTAGGAAACACAGTTATTTACATTGCAATTCATAGCAGTAGAAAAATTACAGTTATGAAGCAGAAAAGAAAATTTATGGTTGTAGGTCACCACGGCATGAAGAACTGGATTAAAGGGCTGCAGCATTAGGAAGCTTGAGAACTGGTGATCTAGTGTGTCTGTATCATGTGTATTTAGAACTTTTGACTTGTGAACAATTAGATTTTGGATTCAAGTAGCCTAAATTTAAGTTTATGATTATATCATACATACTAGTATGATATCAAATTCTTGGGGTTGGTATTGGCTCTTAATCCAGTTATAAATCTTGGGTGAAAAGTGTTAATTTATGACATATAAATCATTTTTTTAAGAGGGGCATGGTGGTACACCCTGGAGCCATTGCTCTTGAAGGAGGATCACAAGCTTGAAACCAGCTTACTCTGCCTTATAAGAACTTGGACTAAAAAAAGAACAAGATAAATGAAAGCATCCCCTATTTAAAAACATGTTTGTGTTTATAGTTGGTAATTTGTCTCCTAAACTTGAATGAATTGTAATTTATTCTTAATCTTATTATTAATGTGCTTGAACATTCTTACTTGTTTCTATCTCTAATGAAGTTTTTATCTGATTAATGTTCTAAGGTTCATTGGATTAAGGCAAGAAAAAGTTAAATATAAACCAATTTATGAAACTTTAAATAAGTAGATTTTCATAAACATTGCACTATTGTACTTAACTTTGCTATTTTAATTTCCTAGTTGATGAGTAAAGAAATAGTGAGCTCCCCTGCAAGTGACACAGTTGGAGAATTAGAGCAGCAGGTAAGATTTCCGTTATGTGAGGAGACAGTTGACAGTTGGGGACACGGCTTCCCCTGCCAGTTACTCGCAAGGTTTAAAACCATGTGCAGTGATCCCTCCTGCAGAACTGCATGCAATTTGCTGTAAGAGCCTGCTTGGATATTAATGTGTATTCTAATGAATGTAAGTAGTGACAGCTTTAGTATTTTCTGTGACCATGTTCTAAGAGTCAGTGGCACTAAGTATTCCAGCTAGACCTGTTGATAGTTATGTCGCCCATTCTGCATGGTTATACCATTAAACAGTAGATAATTTTTAAAAGTCTAAAATTTCTATTATAGTTTCAATAGTGATTTCTCCCCCCCCCCCAGTTTTTATCCTTTTGTCTGAGATTGAAGAAAGAGCTCACAGACAGACTCAGAATCCTGTAACAGCACTTTTTACATAGAATAAAGTTTCCCTCTCCCTTTCTATAACCTCATCAGGGCAGTCCAGGAAAAGTGGGAAAGGAGAGGCCAAGTGCATTTTTAGGTATTTCTTTTGTAGATACCTTGCTTCCAAATTCCCCAACCAAGAGTAATATTAGATATCTTAAAGAATATTTCAAATTTATTTTTTGATAGAAATTTTGTTTAAATATAAACATACTTTTTTGCATATTATCTATAATGAAATTTAAAAAAAGGAATCTGTAAGACCTTTAAAATATGTCCCAAGAATTTTCATGCAATCTTATTTATGTCAGGCCTTATCTTTAACTATTGGTAAGATTATGTGAATGTCACACCAAGGCAACACATGAAGGCTCATTAGTTAACAGGTAAATTGTAAACATGATTTCTAATATCACTATACGTGTATTGATAGAAGAATTTATAGTTTTAATTCACTAAATGTGGTTTGCTGGGGATGATGTTTTCTGTTTCAGCTTAAAAGGGCTTTAGAAGAGCTTCAGGAAGCCATAGCAGAAAAGGAAGAGCTGAAGCAGAGGTGCCAGGAACTGGACATGCAGGTATGGACAGAGGAGCATGAAACGCCTTACGTGAAGGGTGAGAGCAGCACATGTTCTATAACATGAGAGACTTATGTCAGTGAATAAAATCATAGAGGTGAGTCCCAGGGAAGATCTACCCCATGCTCTCAAATGTCCCTCATGTTTCTTCTCAAAACAAAATTAAAATAACCAGGAAGTTGTCAGTATGTACTTACTGCTCCAGCGAATGTATAGACTTAATTGAAAATACACATAGTAAACTTTTCTAGTAATCCAGCAGAAGTATGATTTTAAGTGAAAGGCCTGGCATAGTGGTTCATGCCAGTGATTCTAGTACCTAGGAGGCTGAGACAAAAAGACCGTAAGTGAGAGAACAATCTGTGCTCCGTGGTGTGACTCTGTCTCTGCCCTGCTTCCCCTGAAGAAACCAAAATATTTGATTAATGACCTCTAAATAGTTATCTTCTTGGGCCAAAAGTTGTTGTTAATTCAAATTTAATTTTGCTGCTTTGGATTGCCTGAACTTTGTATTTTTCTTGAATACTGGTGCTTACTAAAAATGACTAAAGTTAATTTTATTATATATATATTATATTTTCAAGTCAATTGTGTTCCTAACTGGTTTTATCTCCTCAAGAATTCTTTAGTCCTGTCTCCATTTTAATGTCCTTGGACATTCTCTGTTACTATTTGTAATTCAATTTCTGTTACATTTCTTGTCAGTATATAGTTTCTCATTACTCCAGGGAATATATAGACCTATTGAAAATATACACTATAAACTTTTCCAGTAATCCTAGCAAGTTTTTAGTGGGTCATCTTACAAAAAAAAAAAATGTTCTTAATAAAATCATAAGTCAGCTTTTGCTTTACTGAACAGTCATCTGTACTTGTAAGTTTTTTGAGGTGTTAAGTAGAGAGTAAATAGAACCAAGGGAACAAAATGAACCAGAGAGCAGTGTAATCAGGAGCTGGCACTGATAATCTGCACTTGCATGCCGCTTTTAGATTTGTCAGTTTATTCACTGTGTGTGCAGTGGAAGGACAACTTCCAGGACTTGGTTCTCTCCTTTCACCATGAGATTGAACTCAGGCCTGCAGACTCGGATGACAACCCTTTTACCCACCTGAGCTATCTTACTAATACCCACTTACATTTATTTCATCCTTTTTACAAGATTGGCAATTTTCTTGTGCAAATGAAAACAATTTATCTGGCTTAAAATAAAAACAAAACGACAACAACAAAGAAAACCCTGATTCTTTGAGTATTTTCTACTATGAACCTAAAATGATAACTTAGGCTGAGAAAATGACTACATCCTGAAAATTAGCTTAGACCTAAAACTATATGTACTCAAACTATTTCATCCCTCAGTCAGAATTAGAATACAGAACTCCCAGCTCATCAGAGGTGGCTTTGACATTGATGTTTGTTTCTCAGGTGACTGCACTTCAGGATGAGAAGAATTCACTGGTTTCTGAGAATGAGATGATGAATGAAAAGCTTGACCAGTTGGATGGCTCTTTTGATGATCCAAATACAATGGTTGCGAAAAAGTATTTTCACGCACAGTTACAACTAGAACAATTACAAGAAGAAAACTACAGGTAATATTTTAGAAGAAATTATTGAGCTTTATTAAACTAATATTTAAAGAGCCATAATTATCAGTAGCCAATAATTGAGAATTTTATATATGTACTTAAGACATTGATTAAAGTACACTAACAAAAAATACCAAATTGTGTAAGCAGTACCTTCCTCACAGTGTTCAGTTAGGTTAACCAGGTAGGATATGCACAATAAAACAAGAACTTCAAAGATCGAAGTCAGACATTGGCTGGAGGCAGTAAGAGTTGGAGGAGGGATCGCAGAGGCTTGGAGAGTGTGCCTCCATAGAAGTAAGTTAACAGTAATGAAAGGATGCAGATCTTTAGTTTAAAAGATACTTTTCACTTTAACGTTTTGCTCTTTAAAACGAGATGCAGATTCTTTTAGCCTCTGCTAAGCTTCAGTATGTGTTTCCAAAAACAGCAAACCATACCATAATGGTGATAATTAGCAGATTGTTCATTGACATGGTGTTGTTACCTAAGCCACAGAACATTAGCAAGTTCAAGCAGTTGTCTCAATTTCTTTATAACTTTTCTTGAAATCCTGGAATCCAGGATTTCATTAACTAATTCTTGCTCAGTGGATGCTAAGTGTCACTCTCATTCTTTATTTCAATGCTCTGCTCTCCTAGATTTGACCAAGTCAGCCATTGAATCCTTTAAATGGGATTCTTTTGTATGAGTACTTTCTTTCTGACACAGCTATATGTCCTACACTGATGGTCCTTAATTTGTTATAATCTGTTCAGAATTAAAATTTTACCTCCTTACATATCATTTGTTTGTAAAAAAAAAAAAATACTGTGTACATTTTTCTTTATCTTTGCCAATTAAAACTTCAGTTAGAACAAGATATACATAAGAGGTAAAGTAAAAAGTCAGAGCATTATGTACCTTTCTTTTGTGTTTATATATTAATGGCTAAGAGTTACTTTAATTTTTTCTACTTTTGAAGGTAAAATTTAAGTATGTCATACTAACCATAAATCCCATTGAGAAGACAAAGGATAGAAACTACATTAAAAATTATTTCTTTTTTTAAAGGCTTGAAGCTGCAAAGGATGATTACCGTGTTCATTGTGAGGAGCTTGAAAAACAGCTGATTGAATTTCAGCACAGAAACGATGAGCTGACGAGCCTTGCTGAGGAAACCAGAGCCCTGAAAGATGAGATAGATGTCCTTAGGTAGGGCTTGTCTGGGTGCTTATGCCTCTTCTTAAGCTGTTGTTTAGATAACTTGAGTGAATTCCAGTCTTATCAGAACTCTTAACATCTCTGTGTATTGGTCACTTTTTAATTACACTTCTGGTCATCTTCTGTGTGCATTAATTAGAACTGCATTTAAAGATATAATAATGTTCTGTTCTTGTTAGGACAGTTTCACATCAGAACCCATAAACCCCAAATGATAATATTTTCTTGGAATTTTGTGAATAATACATGTTAACTTATTTCATGTACATTATCACATTTTTGGAAACTAAACATAGGTAAGAATTCTAGCGTTTCTTTCAGATAGAATTGTCTGTGGGATATAAACATTTGCTTGCTGCTGCTATGTTGTGTTTGGGAATGTATAATGCATGCTATGGGAGCCTGAGGACACCTTATGGGTCTTCCTCCATGTGAGTTCTGGTGACACAGGGTCATCTTGCTAGGCCTCATTAGTGTTTTTTATGTGAGTTTTAATTTTTTTTCTGTTTTAAATACCAATTTGAAAAATCATTATAGCTACTAATTTGGTCTTATGTGTGCTATTGAAGTGAGTTGACTTTTTTCAGTTCATTTTTGCTTTAGCCCAGTTGGTCAAATAAATGATGTTCTAAATAAAGTGCTTTGCCAGACAAATTTGTTAATTGAATCAATTTTGTAAGCATATTAAATCCTTACAACTCCAATAAACCATATACGCAGTTTGCCTGGGAACTGCAGATAGCTCAGAATGATTTAGTCATGTGTACCAAGTGATGCATTTTGTACATTGTCCTGACAGACAATTGTGTCTGTCAATCTATCAGACTTGAAGTATTTTACTAGTTGATGTCTTTAAAACAAAAATAATGAACTCAAAATGGTCTTAGGCCTATGTTTTTGTTATTATTTACAATATTCCTTTTTCAGCTAGGAAAAAAATGTGTGTGCATACATGTTTTATTAATGCAGGACTACCTCAGACAAAGCAAATAAACTGGAGTCGACTGTGGAGGTGTATCGTCAGAAGCTACAAGACCTAAATGACCTCCGCAAGCAGGTGAAATCTTTACAGGAGACAAATATGATGTATATGCACAACACTGTAAGCTTGGAAGAGGAGCTGAAGAAAGCCAACGCAGCACGTGCACAGCTAGAGACCTACAAGCGCCAGGTGAGAGAAGCTCACTGATGAAATTAAAAGTTCAATACAGAAGTTAGCTATCGAGTGTAGTCAGTTGTGTGCTCCTATTGAATTTCTTCTTCCTGTAATTGTAGATTAGGGGGCAGTTAAAGAATCAGAGTTACCTATGTCTTTCACCTTTTTATTGCTTTCTGAAGTCTTCAGGTTTCTTGTTGAACTTTGTCAGTGTTTTGGAAGTGGAAAAATGCCTCGACAATGATAGAGAATATAGCTCCACCTTCAAATACTCTATTGTACCATTTATCAAATAGCTTAGAAAACTATTATAATAAAGCCTACTTTTAAATATTTTGGCTTATTTTAATGTGTTGAATTTTTTGTAATTCTTTTTTTTTCTTTTGATGTTCTTTTTTATAAATAGTTAGAATTAAAATGCCTGTTTCCAATTCAGCCTTTTCAATTATACAACCTTGAAAGTCGATTAGTATTATGAACGATTTTCCTTTACTTTTTTTTCCTGCCCAAAGGTTCAGGACCTTCACACTAAGCTTTCCTCTGAGTCTAAAAGGGCAGATACACTAGCATTTGAGATGAAGCGGCTTGAAGAAAAACATGAGGCTTTACTCAAGGAAAAAGAGGTGATGTTTGATGAGAAATGTGTGGCAGGGAGGGGGGTGTTGTAGCTTTGAATTGCCCTTAACCATAATCCTTAACCTCTAAATCTTAAATATTTTCTTCTCAGTGATTTCCTAATTTAATGTCTTATGTTTAAGTCTTTTTAGATGCTATATCAATCCACAGTGAGAGAGATGACTTGATTTTTTTTTTACTTTTGGTGGGGGGAACAACAGTAATTGAAGAGGCTTTCTTTTCTCTTGTGTATAAGAGCCTCCATCATTTGACTGTAAAAGTCTGGGCTTATTTATGGTATTTGTATTCTTTTTCATCAGTCTGTTCATCTGATGTTTTTGCCAATACTCTGATTTTGGTTGCTGTTCTCTGCAGTACAGTTTGATATCAAGTACTATGATGCGTCCATTGTTTGCTTGGTTCAGGATTACCATGACAATAATTCATAGGAATTATAGCTTTTTCCCAGTCTCCTTCCATGGAGACTGCACTGAATCTTTAATTTGGGGTGGTTTAGACATTTTAGCAATATTATATGATACTTATATAGAATACTAAAGAAGAATTAGAATTGATTTAGTGAAGTGTAGAACAAAATTTGCATAAAAAATAGTAGGTGTTTTATACACCAATAGTGAGATTACTGCAAAGAAACCATGAAAAAAGTCACAGTGATAATATCTACAGAATAATAAGTAATTACTAAAGTTTTACCAGGAAAGTATAAGACAGACCTCTGCAGTGACAGTTAGAAAACAGTCATATTCCTTTGACAGGAAAGATAGATTTTAGCTGACCAGTTACTGAAGCTTTATTCATAATGGCCTGTTCTGTTGGCAGACCTGTGGTAGGGTAGAACATCACAGAAGCAGTGATGTTTTGGAGAACGAGACTGTTAGCTCATGGTGGATGGTAGGCAGAGAGAGGAATTTAGGAGGTGACCAGGGCAAGAGCTAAGTCCCCAAGGACATGGCCCTAGCTGTCTGTCTCCTCCAGCTAAGCCCCGGTTTTGATTCTTACCCTTCTACAACCATCATCTTGTGAATCTACCAAGGGTTAATCCATTCATCAGTTCAGAGCCCTTACTCATCTCTGCTTTGCTGATATTCTAGGCATTTTTCAGATCAGTGGAGTTCAAAATTACAACCACCACACAAGGCTTTGAGTATGTAAACCACATTTACTGTAATCAAATTTGAGAATACTGTACTTCTGAAAAGAAATTCTTTACATTAGCGGGTAGCATATAGTCTGGTCTCCTTTCCATCAGTCTCAGCCACTTTTTATGTACGTGCTGTCTCTGCCATTTCCCTGGCCTATCTGAAGCATGTAGTGGCATAACTAAGTTTTGTGATTATCTTGTTCAAGGTCATCCATATTTTAGCTAAAGCTTCATATGGTGTAGGTGTACTATGTATTGTTAAATGATGCCCGTTGTGTTGATGCAGCATGTTTCATTTGTTTAGTCATCAATGTGTGGATATTGGGACTCATCCAACTTTGGGCTGTTGAATATTGCTGCTGGTTTATTCATACATTTTTATATGGGTGTTTTTCATTCCTCTGGAGTATATACTATGACATGTGGCATAGTGAGATGTAATAAATATTTAAGCTCTTTTCTGTATCCTTGCCAACACTTTTCTTTCATTTTGGTTGACTTTAGCTTTCCTAGTAAGTATGAATTTTTACTTGCATTTTCATAATGATTAAGGACATTGGGCAAGTATGTGTACTTTATGGCCCTTAAGATCCTTCCCATGTTTCACTTCAATTATTTGCTTTTATTGTGTAAGGATTTTTAAAATATATTCTGAATGCAAGTCCTTCCTTAGTTAACTACTTTTTGAATATTTTCTCTGAGTCTGTGTTTTTCTTCTCATGTTCACAACAATCCTTTTTACAGCAAAAGTTTCCTATTTGTCACAGTTGTCTGTTTTTCTTGTTTTTAGTTTACTTCTTTGTTTTCACAGGTTTGGGAGTCTGGCTCTTATATGTAGCCTGTGTTCCATTTTGTTCATGTTATGAGATAGTGTCCAATTTCAGTCTTTTAGGCTGCTGTCTGTGGTTCCAGCATCATTTGTTTAAAAACCTGTTCTTTCTTCATTGAAACTGTCTTATCACTCTTGTTATAAGTCAGTGGACCATCATTGAGTTATGGTACATACATGTCATAGCATGTGTAACAGAAAGAGCAATGCCTTTATGTTGGAATGCATTAATAATAATGTACTCACACTGGTACATTGGTCACAACAGCACAAAATGTTAGAAATACTGGTAGTGGGAAAAATGGGAAAATGTGTAGGAACTTGTGATTTCCTGATCATTCTTCTAAGAAATTTAAAACTACCTCCTAAAAGAGCCTACTAATAAGAAAAAAAAAAAAAAAAAAAAAAAAAACTTACGTGTTTGACCAGAAGTGTAAGAGCCATATCTTGCTTTTCCGTTCTCTTACATTGATATATATATATATATATGCCTGTGTCAGTCATGATCATTATCGCTTTTCAGTAAAGTTTTAAAATCAGAAAATATGAATTGTGGGCAGGCCAGGAGAGTTCCTGCTGTCAAAATTGACAACCTGAATTTGATCCCTGAACCACATGTGGTGGAAGGGTTGCATGCACATATGCACACACACGTGTTTGTGTGCACATGCACTGTCTTCTGGTTCTTATGGGAGTTGTAATCGCTGGTGTAACCATTTTGTTTCAGCGACTGATAGAACAGCGTGACACTCTGAAAGAGACAAATGAGGAGCTACGGTGCTCACAGGCACAGCAAGATCACCTAAACCAAGCTGGTGAGTGGGGCAGATTTCAGTTTGTTTTTCTAATGGTTGAAATACTGATGACACACTGATTGATTTCTGTTCCTTAGATGCATCTGCTACAAAAAGTTATGAGAACCTTGCTGCTGAGATCATGCCAGTGGAATACAGGTAAACTTGTGTTGACTGATAACCTGTACCTAACAGTACAAGTGCCAGCTGGTTTTAGTCTCTCTCATAATTTGCTTGTCTCTGAACACATTAATGAAAGTTCATTATGGTAGAACTGAAAACAGCCTTCTTAATTGTTTTTACTCCAGCAATTTAAAAAATTACCAGAAGTAAAATTTTATGAACTGGCAGAGTAACAGTTTAGTGTTTTTGACAAGGCCTGTATTGTATTGAAATGGCTTTTTTCTGTGGTTTTTTTTTTTTTTTTTTTAATTCTGGAAAACGCTTGATATATGACATTCAAATCCATGTGAGTAAAATAAAATAGAAAAAGTTGTTGACAACAGTGGTAAAATTAAACAAAATACAAATGTAGGTATCCCCCCCCCCCCAGTCTGTCTTTTATCTGGTTGTTTTGATGATTTACTTCTAAGCATTTTGCCTATCTTGCTAGGCTTTGGCACAAGTCAGGGTTTATTTATTAAAACTTAGATTATCCTTTATTTAGTTTCATTAAAGTATAATTCATCTATCTAAAATATAGGTTGCTATTGCTTGCTTTTATCATGGAGTTGCCACTGTCACATTGTGTCCATCCCCATTATTACCTAGATTTAGAACAACTGTTGTTACACCCACAGGACTATATACCCAGCAGCAGTTGTTCCCCATTCCTACTCCTCCCCCCAGATCTCACCCTTAGATGACAAGTATCAATTGACTTTTATTAGTATTTCACATACATAGAATCTCATAGCAGGTGGCCTTTCAGAACTCAATTTTTTTTTTCTCAGAATAGTATAGAAATGTAATACCGAAATTCTCTATGACACATTTAAACTTTATAGGCAAAGCTATAGGAGCTAACACAACTGTTTAAAAATACATTAGAAGCAAAATCCCACAAGCTAACTTTGTAAATTTATAACCTGACTTTTCTTGCTAGGTAAGGTCATGTGCTTTGTTATTAAAGAAGAAACTTACTGCCTAAAATTCATATAACAAAAGTTGTTTTACTTTCAAAATTAAGTTACTCATTTCAAGTTATAAAAGGGGATACAAAGTAGTATCAGTAACAAACATCTGAGTAGTTATATAAAGTGAAACTTATTTTCTTTGTTGTTGAGTCAGTCAGTATGCTAAAAAATCAGTTTTCCAATGCTATAGAATAGCTTAATTTTTAGAGTGATGCTTTTGCCATTTAAAAAATATTTGCATGTGTTGAAAGTAGTTGCTTTGGGACTATGGGATTTGGAAAAGGGAGAAAGTGTAAGTATTCTGTTTAATACCAGAATGAAATTTGCATTGAAAAGTACATTAAGACCTTTATATAAACCATTCATACATTTTTTAAATATTTTGAAATATCACATATGTGTACTATATTTACACCATTCCCCATCTCTAATCCCTATGCAGGTCACTCTCACTTGTTACCCCTCTTTCTTTAGTTATCATTGGCAGCTTTCTTAGCACACTCAGATACTGTAAAATCTAGACCTTATGGAGGAGACTGCCAGGTCAGATTCTGCAGGGATTCCTCTTAAGTCCAAAGTGCCTGGTGTCTTCCACAACAGGGACTTATCTTCAACCTCTGAGAGGCAACCAAGGGCAACAGCAACAGCCTATGTTGTTTTAGGAGTCTCTTAGATGCCTCTAACCAACACCTAAAAGGGAGGTTTCTTATACCCGTACCAAGGAGCTTTTGTTTTTTGTTTGTTTTGGTCTTTGGTTTTTTGGGAAAACATAGACACTCCAAGTGGCCTAACTTCATTTAGAAAAAAATACACACACCCACACACAGCTTTAGATAAACATAAAATGATTCTCCCACCTGAAAACATCTTTTCTGTTAACCCGCCTCCCCCCTTTTGGGACCACACTATTCTAACCCTTGCAACTTACTTCCCTCCCCATCTTGGTCATTTGCTACTTCATGCCACCTCTGTCCTGCTACTCCTGTCTCTAGAGTTAGAGTTGATGTCCTCCGTGGACCTTTTTTACTGTCCAGGTTTCTCTGGTTACTCTAGGTTGATACTCCTGGAGATTCAGACCTGGAAGCACACATAAGAGAAATAGGAGCATTTGTATTTCTGGATCTGGGTTGCTTCCAAATATTTTCTTTTTTGCAAATATTTACCTGCTGATTTTATGACTCCACTTTTCTTTACAGCTGAATAATCTCATAAAGTTAAAAATAAATCACTGATTGGTATATGCTTCAAAGACTGAACATCACAGTAGCTAAGAAATGAAAACAGCAAGATGTCCTTCAACTGATGAATATGAAAATATGGTCCATGTACATAAAGGTTTCTCCTAAAGAAATATGTATAGACTGGTGATCATCATAAAAATGTATTTTAGATATTCAGGAAAATGGTTTTCTTACATTTGCTTGTTTTATCATATACATCTTAAGAATATACTACTTTTCCTAAAGTTGCTAATATTTAAAAGTCAAGTCATATTATCTAGGAACTTGCACACTTGTTTAATGATATATATCTTGATTATATACTGTTATCTTTAACTTTTGAGATGTAACCTTTGCAGGACATACAGTGTATCTTTAAGACTTTCAAAAGTTTTGATATTTCAAAATTAGAGCTATTGAGTAGATAGGAATTTCCTTAAAATAATATGGTGGTTCCAGTGAGATGGCACAGTCCATTAAGGTACTTGCTACCCAAGTTCTATGCCTGGACCCACATGGCAAAGGAGTGAACTGTCTCCACAAGTTACCCTCTGACCTTGACATGGCTACCCTGAAACATGTGTACACAAACATCTATACATATTTATACACACAAAATAGTTACATAAATGTAGCAACCATTTGAAAAGAATGTTGTGAACTTTCTTTCTAAAATTGCTTTTCATTGTCAGAGAGGTGTTCATTCGACTGCAGCATGAAAACAAAATGCTTCGCCTGCAGCAGGAAGGGACAGAGAATGAACGGATTGAGCAACTGCAGGAGCAGCTAGAGCAGAAGCACCGCAAGATGAATGAGCTGGAAACTGAGCAAAGGTAACGGTGCCATTAGAAGTCATGTGACTTGGTCACCTAAAGGAGGGGACAGAATTATTCTCTGAATAGATAGCATTGCCAAGCCAGTGTTTCTCATCACTGTAATCCTTACTCTGAAGAATTCAAAGGCTTTAGATCAGTGATTCTATCATAAAATATACGAATAATGTGGTCATTTTAACAGGCTTCCCTAGCCAGGATACTTACTCTTGATTTTCATTAGATATCCTCACAACAGAAAGAAAACAAATGGTTTAGCAGCTACTATAGTAGTGTGTATAAATAGGACACAGATTATACAGTCAAGTTTTTAAATTTTTAAAATTTTCTTTTATTTCAGTAATATTATATAATACCTAACACAGATTAAAACTTAGTTTTTTAAGTAAAATACAATGTTTTACTGATATTTATATTGGTGAGCTAAAATGTCTCATAAAAATTCATTTATTTTTTTAAAAATACTGGTCATTTTATAATCTTGGACATGGAAATTTGCATTTAAGCTATAGACTCATACTTACATGAGACTATAAACGATGCTGTATTTAAACAGTTTTGTGTGTGTGGTCAATCAGAATTCCACTTCTGCGTAATTCAGTCACTGTTTCTCGGCAAGTTCCTGAGATTTAGACTAGTGAGCTGTAGACACAGGAAGCATCTGGTTAATGTATTTGTAGCAAATACTGTGATTTCTTGGTCCCATCCACGAGCCTTAAACTTTGTGTAATCATAAACAATACTTACACCTGATGTCCCTGAATTTCCTGTGGGAATCTTCCATAACACCCTGTCTTGTATGCTTGAGACATGTTTTTTCAGCATTAGAAACTGAAGCCAGCGCTTCCTACATGACAGGCAAGCAAGCACTCTATGCTGTACCATCTCTCCACCCTCATAAACGCTAGTTACCTGCAAGTGCTTTTGAGGGCCAGTTTGGTAAATCCTCCCTCAATGAGTGACTGCTCACCTTTCTGTGGATAAGGAAGCTGGAGAGGGTCAGAAACTTGCTGAAGTTAGACAGCTTTCATCTCTGAATGGCACCTTGAAAGCATCTGCCAACCTGGCTGCAGAGTATCTTCTAACTTACCTACCTCATCAAGGGGATACTCACTATAGAAATGTGTGCAGCTGGGTTTGTTTATTGCAGACACTTGAACCTTGTTGTCTGTGAGTAAACCGGGTTTCAACTTTTGGTGAACTAATAAAGAATGGTAGACATGTGACTGCATTCAGTATGTGTACATATATTTACTTTAATAAGGGAGACATTCTTTCTAAGTTACTTGCTCAGAAGTGACATCCTGTTGTACCTATTGTGCTTGTCACAGTTAATTACCTTGGATTTATTTCTGTTATCACTTCATTAAATTGCATGAGTGTACTTAATAGACCCCTAACTGCTGTAACTTTAAATCTGAGTAGATAAATACCAACTCATGTCACAATAGGTTGAGCAAAGAGCGCATCAGAGAATTGCAACAGCAAATTGAGGACCTCCAGAAGTCGTTACAAGATCAGGGCTCCAAGACTGAAGGCGAAACTGTGAGTAACAAGTTCTTAACTTGCTGTATATATATGTGTATTCTCTAGTAGTTTCCTCTACCCATTAGCCTGCATTTGAAATGGTACCCTTCTCATTGATGGTACCGTGAAATACCGTATATATCTGCATAACAGATGCAGTGATTTTGCCAACTTGAAGTCTTGTAGATTACTCATCTATATTGTAAGGTGATTTCTATCTGTCCTCCTCAGTATCTATACTTAAGTTCTCTAAGTTTTGACTCACAGAGTGTTATACTTTGAGTGCTTTTACCAAGCTTGGCCTGAGGAAAAGAAAACAAATGAGAATAATTAGCACTCAGAATTGAAAACACTTCCTAATAGGAAATGAGTGATTTCCACTGACAGATCATTGAAGAATCATAACTAGTGAGAAGGACACTGGCAGCTTTTGAAGACATTACCCCTCTTGCTTCCCCATTTCCACACCATCTCAGAGTGTTCAGACAGGGTGGGCTGATATAGGAACACCTGAAAAGAGACATACCTAGCAGCTTTTTTTTTTCATACTTTACCTCTGTATGTGGGGGAGAAGACAGTTAAGAGAGAGATAATTGATTAAAAGAAAAGATAAATCTGGATGTGTTAGCAGATACCAGTTAATGGAAAATACTAGTGGGGGAGGAAGCTGTAAAGTAAGGAGAGGTGGCAGGGCAGATTGGAAGGGCTGCATTTCCCTTCTGTTTTTTTTTTTTTTTTTTTTTTTTTTTTGCATACTTTATATGATTTTCTCTTTTTTCCCTGGGGGCTTGGAACATAGAAGTCATCTCATGCATGGCGGCATCTCATATGTGCATATATACGGTATTGTACCCTCTCTAATACAGATATTGCTAAGCCATGTTAGGGAGTACTTTTAAGATGGCACCTATTTGGGGAACTACATTTTGGTTTGCAGTGTTGTTAATTTCTTCACCATTTGTTTTTAATGTACTGATGCCCACGTATCAGCGTTTTACAGGTACCTAGTTGATGCAGGACTGCTGCTATGGTTTAAAGTACTTTAAAAGAGGAAACCTATTTTAAATTTGTTTTTGACAAAAATCCAGTTGCCTCATTTTAATATTATATTAAAGTGTTTTAATTTATAATGATAAGGTTTTATAAGATAAATATTAAAGTATATATTTGTTAATTAGATAACGAAATGTTTGATACTCCTTAGTATATCACTTTCAGCTTGGATTTGCTATTTTTCTTCAAGTTCAAATTTAATTTTTATTATGTTCAAAAATAAGCAGAATTTTTCTTTGTTACTGTTCATTTCCTATCCATTTTGATGTACAAAAAATACCTAAAATTTTAAGTTTTAGAAACTGTGCCTTACAAGTACATATTTTGAAGACTATTTTCACATAATATACCTTTAAAAGAGGCGATGACATTTAGATTTTTGGGAAATTTACCGTTCCCAAGTGAGTCATCTTAACGGCAACTATTTTTAATTTTATAGTCCAGCAAACTAAAGCAGAAGTTGGAAGCTCATATGTAAGTAAAACTGATGTTTCATTTCAAAGGGGAAGGGTTGGTGAAGCTTTTGGAAAATGTTCTTTTCTGACTTGGTGAATTGAAAGAAAGCATAGGCCCAGACTATACCACTGCTACCAAGAGCACATTCCACTGCTCATGCATGGCAGCCAGCCTAACTCCTACAGTTTTAAGTAGCTAATGTCATCTGACAGATTTATCCAAGGAGACATTTATTAACCAACTGACTTGATGTTGTGGCCTATACAGCTTTTCCTTTCAGTTGTGTAGGAATTGGAGGTGTGGAGGGAAAGGAAGGCCAAGGCTTGGGGATGCATCTTGTATCAAGTGCATTAATATCTGCACGGCAGGCCCTATGGTTAGGCAAATAGGTTCCCGCTTTACCTGTGGGAAAATAAAGATCAGAGGCATTCTTGCCCAAAGTCCAAACATCAATGTGGCAAAGACCAGTTTTCATTCTTAGGTCCATTTGACACCAAGCTCCATGCTCTCTCCAATACTTAGGGAAAAACTAACAGAAGTCCATGAAGAATTACAGAAGAAACAGGAGCTCATTGAAGACCTTCAGCCAGATATAAGTCAGAACGGTAAGTTTGTGTAAAATCTGGACACACTTCTCAGGATCTGCCCTTCTAGTGAAGCAGATAAGAAAATAGATCTATCTTTACACAGTGAGTAGTGTACACATTGCATAAGAATCACACTTATTTTTAATGCTGGTTTCATTCACATAAGATATAGTTTTAAAGCAAAAAAAAAAAAAAAAAAAAAAAAAAACCCCAATTTTAATAAATGAACTGATTGATATAAAGGAGTATCAAACATTGTAACTTTTAGTCAAGTTAACACTATAGAATCTGAGTAAAATAATTTCAAAATAGAATAAAATGAGCTTCAAAACAAAAACAGTGTCTATTTTCTTTCTCTGTGGTTGTGCTTACATGGAACAATATATTTCATGTCTTTAATATTTGTTAGAAAGATAGAAACAGCTAGATTATAGGTAGTGATTGTGGATATATTACTTGTAGTTCAGAAGTTTTAGATAAGAATAAATTAGAGAAGAAATTAAAGAATTTTTTCTTATAAATTATCTTAGCAGGCATTGGAAATGAGTTTGATAAGTACAATTTTTGTATGAGGATCAGGTGTTTTGAATATGTGATAATTGGTTTAATTTTATTTTCACAAATAGTCCAAAAGATCACTGAACTTGAAGCTGCTCTTCAGAAGAAAGACGAAGACATGAAAGCAATGGAGGAACGATATAAAATGTACTTAGAGAAAGCTAGAAATGTGAGTGAGCCACTTGCTCAGCTGATTGCTTATATCCGATGTTCTAGTCAGCCCTAGTTCTGATTGCACTACAGGTCTGTGTCTGAACCTAGTCACTGAGTCCTCCTCTGCCTTGCCTTGCCTGTCAGGTTTCTGCCATCTTCTATGTAAGCCCTGCATACTCAGTCTGACATAGTGTCAGATAAGTCAGATAAATATACTTTTGGGGACATCTTCAATACTGGCAGTAGTGACCTTACTAAAAAAAAGTGACTACTATGATATAAACTCTTAACTTATGTGCTAGAGTCTCAGCACATTGGCTCAGCAAAATGAATGAAATGGTTTACCTTTTTTTGGAGACAGTATCTTGAAATTACTCCATTGACTTTATTTTACAGTTAAACTCTATCCTGATGTTCATCTGACTAAATTCTTTCTTTATCGTATAGTTTAGCTCAAATATCTGTGAAATATTGTTTTCATAGTCTTATTTTCATAAATACCACATATAAATATTTCTTCAGAGTGTTAATACATGCTTTTCTATTTAGTAATTTAAGGAATTTCATGTTGGTGCAACTTTAAAATAATAGTATATTTATTTGTGTTAATGTTTAGATTTCATACAAACAATACCAAAAATTGAACCTCAAATCTCAAAGCTTCACATGATGAGCATTTTCTTCCTAACTGTAGTAGTGTTTCTAGTCATAAGTGGGAGGGGCTCTCAAATTCAGTCATTCAGATCCCAACACAGGAGCCCCAGGTTTACTTAAGGTTGTCTACCCGGTAGATGAGGAGAGACAATCTAGACTGCAGAGGAAATATCTAATAGGTCAGGCCTGGAAAGAGCAACACTCAATGGGAGAACTCACACATGTAGGCTACCTCTAAAAGGACACAAGGATATAACATAACTATGTTTCAGAAATAACAAGTAAATAGATTTGATAAGCATACAGGAACCAGGTTTGATTTTTAGCACCCAGTTGATGGCTCACAACCATCTGTGACTTCAGTTCTAGGGAATTGGATGACCTTTTCTGGCTTTTGTAGTACAGAGCAAACACTCTAGAGATGAAGTCAAGAAGGCAGTGAATGCCCTTCATTCAAGGCTACCTTTTATTTGGAATGAGGTAGGAAACACAAGGTTTCCAAGCAAAGTTATGGCATGACCTGACTTAAGCTGTTATGGGGTTGTGACCAGGTCACCAACTGGTCACCTCCCAAAATAAAACAAATTAACTTTAAAAAGCTAAACGAACAAAACTCAGTGCTCAAAGTTTAAATAACAAAAAAAGGCTAAGTTGCTGCCATTGAATACGTGGACAAGAAACATTTAGTTTGATGGTGTTTGTACATTTGTTTGTTATTTAAATGAAGTTGTAAATAAGCTCCTGGTGACTTTGTGGATAAACTATGTTAAATTTTTTATAAAACATGTTACATTTTTTTGATGCTTTTAAAGACAAAGTGGACATAACCTTTTTCTCTACACAGGTAATAAAAACTTTAGATCCGAAATTAAATCCAGCATCAGCCGAAATAATGTTACTCAGAAAGCAGCTGGCAGAGAAAGAGAGAAGAATTGAGATTCTAGAGGTAAAGCCTCCACAGCCACTCATCTCCTCACTCTTCCCTGGAGTCCTGGGAATCAGCTTGACTATATTTGCCACCCATGTCCAGCTTTCATAAAACCTTTGCTAATCATGGTGTGAGCCTGCTAACTGGTTGAGCTCTTATTTAGTAAAAGCATTTTTGTACTATTTACATTGTTTTTATGAAGTCTTGTGGGCATTGTACAGTTTTATGTTAGATTTTGCCATTACTTTAGTAGCTTCTTTGATAAAATGTTGTACAGGACCACTAATTTCAAAACAGATGATGCTGTTTTTGAAATGGATATATATAAGCCATGCTAAGCTATGTTTTCTGGCCTCCCCATGAACTGTGATTGGTTTCTTTTCACATAACTAGAACACAGTCTGTTCATACACCATTTCCTTGTATGATTTCCAGCAAAGTCAGTATGAGCTGTGATGGAATTATGTTCACTTGAAACTTTTAACACCTCCTCTTTCCTGCATCCAAAATATGTATACCAGGCTGGTATATGCCTACTCTCATTAATTATCCAGACCACGCTGTGTTGTAAAATGCACAGGGCAAGTATGTGTCTGAAAAAAAAGTGTTAGTTTTTCACATTCTAACTCCAACGCTCAACTCTCTTTGTGTTTCCTGTATTTACACAAAAGGAGCTTGCACCATGTTCCAGAGTCACAGTTCACTGAAGTCCTCTTGCACTGCTTAGCAGAAGCATACTTTATACTTTCATCTTTTGCTATGTGTTGAATTAACTTGAGGATGAAGTAGTCTATGTCACATTTCTGTAGCCCCAGCATTTTTTTTTTTTTTTTTTTTTTTTTTTTTATGTCAGAGACTGGGTTTGCAGGTTTATTAGTACCTTATCTTAATCCTTACTTCTTTTGTTTGCTTCTTGGCCTGCACTTGTCCAAAATAATAAGATTTGACTGACTAATCTTTGAAATCTCAATCTTTCAAGTGCACTGACCATTCACTTCACAGGAAGCCAGTGAAGAATGCTCACCATTGCTTATGTTCAAAATAGATCCCTAAAAGAGTAGTAGCAAAATACTACCTCTCACTAGAGGACTTTGAGGGAAAAGCCTCCATTAACTCACAGTACATGGGTGCTTAAGTTTTAGTTATCCATTGCTTGTGCATAAGAAAGAGAAGTAGAATGGCAGAGGGTTTTCTCTGTTTGACCCTGTGTACTTTGTGTACTGAGAACATGTTGCTCAGGGAAGATACAGGCTTAAGTGTTATGTGGTTTTTATGTATGTCATCTGTATCTGGTGCTCATTAGAATTACAGAATTGACTGTATTAGGATAATAATAATGATGATAGTAACAATGATTAGAACTTCAGTCCATACAGTGGTGCATGCATATAACCACAAGTTAGAGTCATAAAAAGGCTGCCAAGAATTAATAAGAAAAAGTTGTGCTGATGTAGTGAGGTAGTCCTTCTGTAGCACTGACCACGCCCATTGGGGGGTGGAGAGATGGGCGGAGGTGACCTGAGGAAGGAGGTCGGAGGGGGCCAGGAAGGCGCTCTCTTGCTGGCGTGACTCGGACAGGAGAGGATCGGGTTGAATTTCCTGGTGTTCATCTGTCTAGGTTGTAAGTTATTTCTCCCTGAATAAACATCTATTCGGCCTATTTGTTTATCCTGATCCTTATTTACCGCAATATGCTGAGGAGCCTAGAACTTTGTTGAGTCCATTCTCCTTGGTTTTGACTCCTCCATCTTGATATTTCAATCTAGTTGCTTTTGTCTCCTCACGACATGGGGATTAATAGCACAGGAATCAATCTCTAAGGGTGTGTGTGTGTGTGTGTGTGTGTGTGTGTGTGTGTGTGTGTGTGTAAGTGTAAGTTGCTGTTTTTGAGTAACTTTTCTAAAATGATTATAATTACACACATTCTTTGCCTTTTCTAAAGATGACTTGTGTTCTGCATAATTCACTTCTTTATTTTGACTAGTTTGTGTCTCTCACAATTGTATTTTTTCTATTCTCCCAGCAGTGAGATAGTAAAGAAATTGCTTTGTTCTCAATAATTTGGGTGGGGGCAATTCCTGATATTTTAATTGTCCTAATCATTAATTTATTTTTCAGAGTGAATGTAAAGTAGCAAAATTCCGCGATTACGAGGAAAAACTCATTGTTTCTGCCTGGTATAACAAGGTATGTTGCATTTCAGTGATGAGTGGGATTAAGCCCTGTTCATCACTTCCTTGACCAGAATAATAGAATAATAGAAGGCAAATGTGTTATATCAATGCAATACAGTTGTGTTATGAGATCCAGTGATAAATACCTTCTGTCATCAGAAAACAAGTTAGTCCTAACTAAAGTACTTTGTCCATGAAGCAATATATGCAGCTGCTGCCTTCCAGATCTGTGTGCTAAGCTCTTCTGTGTGATGTGTCTGTCCAGTTAGTACAGCTATCGTTCTAACACACACAAAATCACATAGGAAGTTCTTCTCTGGCATGCTGTTTTGGGCTACTATTTTTAATGATTTAAAATTTAAAGAATTAAAGTAGAGGCAGTGATTTTAGTATCTTTTTCCTAGCCTTGCCAAACAGAATTGGCTACTTTATCCTTAAATTTTTTCTCTGCTGATCAGGAAACCATTAGTCTGCTAGGACTGCTATAATAATTATGTTACTTTTTGCATGTTATTTGTTTTTCCAATTCTTTATTCAGAGCCTGGCATTTCAGAAACTTGGCATGGAATCTCGGCTTGTGAGTGGCACTGGCGCTTGCAAAGATACCTGTGCGGGTGCTCCTGCGCGGTCATTCCTAGCCCAACAGCGACATATCACCAACACCCGCAGAAACCTCTCCGTGAAAGTCCCAGCCGCAGCATCGGACTAACCTGCAAAACAAACATGAACAGAAGTGCCTCAAAAGGTTTTGTACCCCAAGAAACTACGAGATGGAAAACAAAGGTTAAGATGCTTGATAGCAGCTAGTTTTGTTTGGATTTTGTTTTGAGATCAGGTCTCCTATACCCCAAACTGGCAGTGAATTTACAGTGTATTCAAGGATGACCTTGATTATCTGATCAGTCCTTCCCTCACTTCCTGCATGCTGGGATTAATAGTTGTGTACCACCATATTGAGTTTATATAGTACTGGGGATCAAAACCTAGCACACAAGTCTAGCTGTCTACCAGTGAACTACATTCCCAACTTTGGTATCAAAATTTATCAAAATAACATTTAAGTATTCTCTGAAAACAAAATACAGAATCAACTCTGTCTCTGGGCAGCACTTTTGAGTAGTAGGAAGTATGGTAAAGTAAATATTTGTCTTGAGATGACATCATGTGTGGGAAAGCAACTGCATATTCCAGCTTTATGCTTTTGGCTGTGGCCGCAAGTTAATTAGGTTGCAAAAAGTAATATATCTAGATTTGCTTAATGGGAAAAGTCTCTAGTAAGGCATGTAGAAAACAAATGTGCAAGGTAAATCCTTTGGCCTGGTGTGTGCAAAGATTTCCTTTACTTGCTAGCTCTACCCTAAGGAGGATACTGTGTCATGCTGAGGAAGCTATAATGCTTGGAAGACTTTACTGTTGGAGTGACTTTGTCCTCTAAAAGTGACTGGCTGGACACTTGCAGTTTCTCTGAGTCGCATCTCAGTTTGTACATTAACTGCTATAATTGAAGATTTTGGAGGGCTTGACTGAGATGTCAGGTGGGAAATGAACTGGTAATTGTAAGAGGTACCATTCTGTTGGAAAGCAAACTAGAAGGATACATGTTGAAGTATCCACATGCCGTTAAACATGAAATTGTTGTGGCCTTTGCTTTCTAAGAAGGGGTATATCATGTATAATTTTGCCTCATTATTGAAAAGAAATAATGATGAATCAGCTTAGAACCAGTTCTGTCTCTGCTTACCTCTAAGAAGTTTCTGGAGCTGGATTTGTGGCATTCAGTTCATTTCTGCCCAGAATTATTCTTTTCAGAGATGTTACTTTCTAATTTGGGGTCACTTTTTAAAGTCACAGCTTTGGAATATTGGTTGTTAAATCAGTATTGCTTGATGTAGCTACAACTGGTTCATTCTTGTGTCAAGACAGATTTCCATCCTTAGTAACCACGTTTCCAACTCTTTGATCCTTAGACTTACGAAGTAAGTGTTGCATCCATTTTATATCTAGAGAGGAATCAGATAGTGACAAGAGGACAGCAAACACAAACGTTGCAGCATTGTGTATACCCTGAACATTAGCAGACATTCTGTGAGGTGTGTGCTTGTGGCCTGCATGATCCTTGTTGGATCAGCTCCTCACCTCTCCCCTCCTAGCATGAAAGAAGGGATGCTGATATGTAAACGAAATTGGTGTAAGCCACAGTGAGCTGGCAGGCTGTAGAGCTGAGGTCTACATTTTATTCTTAGTACTTCATAAATACGAGTATTGTTCTATTTGAAGTGTTAACTCATGTAGATAACTGCAAATCCTTGCCCAGTAATTATTTAACCACTTAAAAATACAAGAATTTCACAGTTATTGGGGTCTTTGAGATTAGTGGCATCTGCTGGGATATTTTGTTTTATCAGGGTTGTTTCTGTTGACTACCTCTTAGATTTTGATGCTTTGTGCATTTACACTGTAGGTTTTCATTTTTGTATCTTCTTATGGTGTCTGCTTGCCTGTGTCTTTTAATGAAATAAGCTTTGAAAATACTTTAGCATGCTGTTTAAAATTTTCTAAAAATTGTGGCATTTGGGTATATTTTTGTTAATGAAAATATTGATGTTAGTGTTTGTATTTGCTTATAATTGAGATTCTTACAAGTTCACTTTTAAAGGAACTTACTGTAAAAGATCAACTTCAATAAATTAATGTTTTCAGTGCAATTGCTCATAAATTTCTAGATAATGTAGTATAAATAAGGACATAAGGATAGCTTCTTTTTTTCTTAAGAAAAGGCAAATTTTCTGATTTTTCTAGTTTTAAGTAGAATTTCAAATGTTTGATACATGTTTATATAAAACTATGTAAAGTTCTATATGATGGAGACTAATCACAGAAATTCAGGCAGTGATCAAGGCAAGATTCTTTCCATGTATTGTTTATGCAATGAGACCAGTGCCCTGCCAGATACAAAACATAATGTGTTTGATCGGGAACCATAATTTTTTACAGATGTGTTGCAAGGGAGGATTGGATGCACAAACATGGAATTGACAAAAATTGTATGTCCCAGTGATTATAACGCTAGACACAATCTTGAATTTCAAGCAGTTGTCCTGGAACTGATAGTCCTTTTCTTTTGGGATATAATTATGACAAATTTTTTATCTTGGGATTAACTTAATGAATTGAGAAATATTTGAAGTTTATTCTATTTTTTCAATGATTAAGACTAATGATTTAGTGTAAGTTAAAAATGTCTTGCCTAGCACCCTTTAGCTGAGCATCCCTTAGTAAAATAAGGTTGGTCATTGATGACTGGATGTTAAGCACTTCACAGAATCACACCTACTTCTGTGTAACAGTACATCTGGCCTTTGGCAGTGATGGTGGCAGTGATAGGCCAGGGTAGTGTCTTTTTGTATAAAAATGAAAGTACATGGTGTGTTATTCATACAGTCTTATTGTGACCCTGTTTGTTGCACAGAAATAGTTTGGAAATTTATAAAGCACAAATTATCAGAGGAAATAGTGTGTAGTTATTAAACTTGAGTAAGTTTCAGTGCAGTGTTTAGTCTATAAAAAGGTCCTTTCTATTTTCTATGGCGAATATTGTCACACTTGAAAAATAGAAGCAATACTTGATTTATTTTTGTAAGTATTTAGAATATTATTTTAAATAAATAATTGTCAATATTATTGTGAAATGTTTTAAGTAAATAAACTTCTGCTTCTGTACCAGTTGGTTGTGGTGTTTTTAGTGGCTACAAATGCATGTTTATTTTCTATTTTAATAAAAGGACTAAACCCGCTTAGATTGGTAAGCAAAATTGCATGAATTCAAGTTCAGGTGCATAAAAGTGATTTTGTGTGTCCTTTGTCCTCAGTTTTGCCACCAGAAAGTAGATGTTTTGTTAATGTGGACTCCAGAACATTTCTAGGCATATAATTTCAGGTTTATTGAGGGCTAACCTCAAAATCCATTCTTGGATTATCCCTTTATTAATAATTTCCTCAGTATAACTCCTTCATTAATAATTTATTACACTCCCTTGGTGGTTAGACCTCCTGTGACTATGTGGCAGGAACATGTAAGTAAGTTCTTGCTAACTGGATGTGAATAGCACTGAGCTTCTATATGGAGAATACAATCATGCTCTCCTTAGTCCTGTGACCCCACAGACTCATGTTCCCCTTTATTAGTACAGCTGAACAGTAAAAAAGGAACATGGTCCCATCCCAGAAATCACATTTGAACCCATCAGCTTCTAGACCAGGAGTCTCTTGTGTGAAGCTATTTCATGTTTTATATTGTATCCATTACCCTAGCCACATCTAATGTGTTTGTCACCTCAAGTTGTAAAATGGATTTTAGAAAAGCACAGTTATCTGTGTTCTTGAACCCTGTCTTGGAAAAGTTTAGCTCTGTTGCTGTTGCTGATTGGTCAGTAACTAATAGTTACATGTCTGTATTTAAATGTTCTAGATATAAAAGGATAGAGACAGGACACCGTGGTGAAAAACCTGCCTCACTTGAGGTGATATCCAGGAAACTTTCCAAAGTTTATTAAAGGGCTTAACTTCTAAACTGTAGAATACTGTGGTGACCTAGCTAAAGGGAAATCATTTTATTTTCTGATGGTGCCACTAACTACACTGTTTAAATGTAAATTTCAGTCACTTCAAGTTGCTTTGGGAGTTGCACTTTGTAGACCAGGTTAACTGGTTACAAAACTCCTGTGATCTGCCAGACGGTGGTGGTGCATGCCTTTGATCCTAGTAGTGGGGTGGCAGAGGCAGGCAGATATATGTGAGTTTGAGGCCAGCCTGGTCTACAGAGCAAGTGTCAGGACAAGCACCAAAGCTACACAGAGAAACCCTGTCTCAAAACAAACAAACAGACAAACAAACAAAAAAAAAACCAAAAAACAAAAAACCTCTTGTGATCATGGATGATCATGGAGACTTTGGAATGTTACAGATCCAGAGCTGAAATTATTTTAGCTATGCTTAGTTACCTTTGTGCCCATTATTAGGTGTAAAACTTATGTGGATTAGCAAACCAGTAACTTCACCAACCCCAAAGCTCAGAATATCCTGTGATCTCAAGACACATTTTCCCCCCTTTCTGCTGCCAGCTCCCATGCCCCACCCAGTATTCTTGGTAAATACATTACGCATGACTGGCCTGTAACTATAAACTATAAAAGTACATGCAGTGAATTTCACAGTAGAAAGCTCCTGAGCCTTGGCTGCAAAGAAACTGTCTCACTGCCTTTTTAGTGAACTGTTTTTTGTCACATACAAACCTATGAAGCTGTGCTCATTTCTCTTCACCCACTTACCTTCAAGTTTACTGGTTCTTCCTGCCAACTGATGTATACTACTAAGTCCTTGTAGTGAGTTTTAAATGTATTACTTCCACTTTGAGATTCTCTAGGTTATCTGCTTTGAAAGCAGTCTCCTTGCTGTGATTTTCCATTAAAACCCATTCTTGCTTTTGGTAATTCAAAAGAAGAAAGGTTGAATTGAATTTTGGCTACAGAAAGGTAACTTTAGGTTTCTTCTTCACATCAAAGTTAGCATTACATATAATTACTTTATCTTTAAAAAAATAAAATATTGCCTTGGATTAAGCAAACTATTATTAAGTGATATATATATATGGACATGTTTGAAGGAGAATGTTCCTAAAATTGTTTTCATAAAGATTCACGTCTAAAGAAAAGAGGCTCACACTGGGAGAAGGATTTGTAAGATCATGTTTAAATGTATGAGTTTATTAAAAACATACTATACTTAAGGTAGTGGTCTCATTTCACTATTTTTATTTTTTGAAGTTATTTCTTCCAATTCCTCCCACACACACACCCCCACTCCTAAATTCATGGCCCCTTTTTCTTTAGTAGTTATATACATATATATTCTTAAATAAATAAATAGATATCCAGATCACATAACCTATATGTACATGATCTCAAAGGTACTAATGAAAGCCTTTGGAGTCCAGCACCAAGACTCTTCAGGGTTCAGACTGGATGCTACAGCAATTAAAAGGAACTTTGATTGTCTGAGGGCAAGTGAATTCTCTCATACACCATGCTGTTCCAAACAAGTCTCTTTATGGTTTTCTCTCTATTCTAATTCTGTCCTACTTTCCATTCCTCTTAGCATCTTCTAGAAACTCTCTTACAGGAGGCTTGAGCAACAATAAATTACAGGAGTTACATTCCACTGGTCAAAAGCACATTCTCTGGGTGAGTAATAAGGGCAGAGCCCTTTACCATGGCAACAAATAGTTTCAAGGTTTCATGAAATTGAGAATAGCTGTAAAGCCCTAGATTTATGATCTATATACAAAAAACGCCTTTAGTCTAGTTTGAATTTGCTCTGAGATGGGAGAGAGATAATTATGTGCAGTTAGTCTGAGCAAAAGGAGCAAGCTGGCTTTTAAGTTTCTACATTCATTATGGAACACTTAGGAACAAAAGGAAGCATATCCTAGTATATTTCCTATATATCAAAATTACACAGATAAATGGAAAGTCATCTTCCTGACCATCCGCAGATGTATGTGCTCAGTAGATGGACTATTTTCATGAGATAAACACACAATCAGTGGAAAACATGCAGTTATTCTTAGGGAAGAAATGAAGTGGCACATGAGAGGATTTACAGATGCAGGCAACTGGTTTTCAGAGTTGGTGGTCCTATAAGCCTTGCCAGTCAGGATTAACCTCCATCAAAGTCTGGTGTGTCGACACCTGAATTATCAATTGCCATATGCTGTATATTCCCATGGCCTCTGACAGGCTACCACTATGTGTTGGATATCCAATTGTGGAGAACTGTATCTTGGGGGAAGATCATCTTTCCCTCTCTCTAAGCTCCCCAGTTGGCTTCAATTTTTGCCTAGGGTTAAAGCCCCATGAGATTGTTCCATTCCATGTTTTGTCCATTGGTTTTGTTGTTGTTGAAGATGAGTCATGGATGTAGCCTCTCTGACATTTCTTGATTATAGTGCCTGCAGCATGGTAACATTTTAAAAGAGTTTGCCAAAATTCTAGTTTGACTAGAGTTTATCCCTGTACTCAATAGTGAACACATATTGTTTTATTAGTTTTGAAGGAAAACAAACAGCCTGGAAGAAAAATGTAAGTTTCCCAATAACCTGAACATGTACAATTACACAGATAAAATTATTATATTGTGACTGAGTACTGTAGGGTTTTTTTTTTTTTTTTTACATCTGTCTTTGGTTTTTAGAACCATGGCAAAGCAGCTGGGAAATAACAGTCCTGAAATCCCAGTGCCTAACAACAAAACATTTATTTAGGGCATTGTGTAGCCATCTTGAGTAAGTTATACTCTGTTCCATGTCTTTATCACACTGGAGAGTCCAGGCTACAAGGCTATAATCTAAGACATAGCAGGAAAGGAAACACGTGGAACTGATCTAGGCACTCAGAGGTAATAACACCTGTACCTTTTAATCATCTTCTTAACCAAGCCAATCTTGTGAACCTTGTGGCTGGCCATTCCTGACTTTATCAGAGCATTCTGTAAAGTAACACACAGAGGAAGGACTTAGCAAAGTCACCTGCATGGGGATAGTGAATCCCTTTACCAGGCATAGTCTTTGAAATGGGTGTTATTCTGTTTTTCAGGTGGGCAGGAAAGTAAGGTAAGCTGTTTACTTCACAAGCAGAAGGTAACTGACAAACCTGGGAATGGCCAGTTAGCCAGAACCACAGCCTAGTTTGTCTGGCTTGCCGTGAGACCACCTTCAGTCCTTTAATGTAGTTTGATGTGCATAAGGGTGCTGTGATGGTTTTGGTCCTGGTTGCATTTGGACAAAGAGTAAGCTCTGTTCTGAGCTTACTGGCTACAGTGAGCATCACTAGTGACTCATGCCAGCTCCTGAGGGCACATTTGCAGCTAGCCCTTTCTTCTTGCTCAGTTTAATGTAACTATTTCAGAAGAAGAAAAGTCCTTGGTTTGCCAGAGCAGAACAAACAGCTCATGGTGGGTGCACAAGAACACAATGTGACCCAGAAAGCATCAGTATCTACTGGAACAGCTGCCAGCTTTTGAGACAAGCATAGCAGAATGCAGAGGGTAGACGTGAAATGGCTCAGAAGTGAAGAGAGAGCCCTGACTGCCCTTCAGAGAAAGAGCCTGAGTTCAATTCCCAGCAGCCATATCGTGGCTCACAACTGTCTATAATGAGATCTGGTTTCCTCTTCTGTCCGGAAGGCATAAATGCAGGCAGAACACTGCATTAATGATAATAAATATTTTAAAAATTTAAGATGTAAATATCTTAAAAATTATACCTGGTTAAAAAAAAATTTGGTAAAACAAAAACTCACTCACATCCTGCCAAAGAAGAGAAAGGAAGAAAAGAAAATGGGAGAGAAACTGGGTACCATTTGCAGCGTTGCTTTTCAAGCAAGAAAGGTGAGGCAAAAATCCTCACCCCCAAAGCCTGCTGATAGGGAAGAAATTGATGAACTGTTATAGTTAGGATTTTATACATGTGTATATTTACACATATAGTCCCTTTTCCGTTGGAAACCAATTTATTTGCATATGTGTATTCCCCATTCTTCACTAAACTGAGGGCTCCGAGGTGTTATGGCCCCTGTACCTCCCCTTGTTGATCCCTGTATTCGGTTCACAGTCTGTGGCCAGTAAATAGCTGTTGAATTGACTTGAGAATACTCTAATTTGAAGCT